GTCGTTCCATTCTGGTGTTTGATAGTTTCACTCACAGGTGGTTTCTGGGGACCGGTCGCACGGATCAACTGAAATAATTTCCGGGCATTACCGGCTTTCTGGGCCTCTTCCATTTCTTTGGCTTTCTGTGTCCACCATACTTCACGATCAGATCGCAAGCTCACTTTCACTTGACGTCTAATAGCTCTTCGCACCGGGTTATGTTCGAGACCGGCTGGGATATTTCTTCAAGATTTAAGTAGTGTCACCGTTCGGTCTGATATTCAGTGCTTGAGTGCGCCTGGTCGGGTCGTGCCACAGGCAAAATTCGCAGCACTATGCAAAGAGGTAGCAATCTCGTCCCAGTATGAGTTCACATCTGATGGTGGAGCACTTGGAAGAGAAGAAGGAAGAGGATTCTTGTAAGTTCGTCTGACATCCGGATCTATTAGTCTTTCAGTTGCCATGCGATGACGATGATGGTGAGCTCTGACAGAAGCATGCCCGATGAAGTCAGCGCGAGAATCTCAAAGGACCTAATCGCGTTTGCTGATTTGCATCACTTGTGGCGTCAAAAAGGCATATTATTGAGTCTAAATGGTCTCGTGTACCAGACTACGTAAGGGCTGTGTTGTTGTGTGGTTGCGAGACGGCCTCTGAGGACAAATGACGTGAGATTTCTTCAGGCTTTTGGCCACCGATGCCTCAGAAGCGTTGCTGGTGTTGGATGACGTCAATCGATCAACGAGGTGATTGGAAAACGGGTATTTGGCTGTGTAGCAGGTACTTTCGTCGCGGGGAACATCCAGCACCATAGACTACAATGGTTCGGCTATGTTCTGCGCATTCTGAAACAGTCTACCTAGGTGAATGTTGTTCTACGTGCCTTCTTCAGAATGGCGCCAACCGCAAGGTAAACAACGTATAACTTGGCAAAAGGGTATCAATGAGATTACGAAGAGTTTGGATGTGTTGGTCTTGTGCGCCTTCCAGGATGGGGTCCCCGTGACCTCACCTGTGCTTGGATAAAAACATTGCCGGAAATGGCGGCTACTCTATGTCAGTGGCGTTCGTGCTGTCATTTTCTTTCCAAATTGTCTGATTTAGCGCTTAGATGTGTAGGTACCTCAGAATGCTTGACATAGGCCAGCACTGGTTCCCCTCACTTCCTCGCTTTTTCTCTCTTCTTTTCACTCTAAGGCTCCAAATATAATTAGATGAACTTTATGGTTGTACAGCAGCGAAGCACCGGTGTCGACACCGATGTTGCTATCTGTGATGATGATCACTCGCGCCACAAGAAAATTTGCTTACCTCAGAAACCGCAAATGTACCACTACAGCTGGTTAATCATGGATCAACTCATTGATGGCTATATTTACAATAGACTTCTCAGCATCACGCTGGTCAGTGAACAGACGTATGAATGACTTGTCAAGCCTGTTTCATCAACCGCCCACCTCAATCCTATTGATCTCGGTGTTAGGCTTTAATCAATTCATTTTTTTAATGGAGTTGAACCACGTGCTCTCTGATGGTACCTGAGCCCGATCCCATAGGGTAGGATTGGATCGAAAGGAAAACTAATGTCATGCGCAACTGCATACAGTAATTTGAGGCTACACCGTGCAAACGCCTGTTTCTCAGCTTTCTACGGACCTGTGCTTACAACGGTATGTCGGCGTTCGCTTTTGGGAATCGCAACGAAATGCACAGTTAATCTCAATTCGGCAACCAAAAACCTGTATGTATAAGTAATGTTCAGGTCGATCTGCTATGTGGTGATGAATAATGTGAGTGTAGGCAAATGAAACAATAATAGAATGGGACCACTATCTGCGTAACTTTGCAACTTCAGTGAACACATTTGATGCTTGACTAGTTGAGTCTCTGGTGCCCTCGCCTCACAACCTAAGGCCCGTTAATTTTTCCATGTCTCGTTTGTAGGTAGTCCTTTATTGGGGCTTCAATAAGTGGAACCTGACCAAACAACCGGTCACTCAATCAAATTATCCAGCGTAGCTGGTCTAGTCGTATTTCACTCACTTATTTCACCTCTCTTCGTGCTTGATCGAGTCAGTCCGTTTGTCCAAAGTTATACTGAAAGCATTTTAACTCAGCTTCCTTCCATAATGCACTGCGGTGATCGATAACGTGGTATCTCCCCTGAGTGTCGGAAGTTCAATTCCTCGTCGGTGACACTGGGTTCATTTCTTTGAAGAGACCCATTTGCAAGAGATTTTGGTTGCTTTCCCCTATCATAACAACGATGTTCAGTATATAGATAGCTCCGTAATTAAGGTGTGAATTTACTGAGACAAGGTCATGGTTCGAACCCAATCCCGGCATCCCGACTGCTTGTATCTAGTCTTGGATAACCTGGAAGTATGTTTGCCCTCGTGTTTCATTCGAGTGGCACGGCAGCCAGGCACCGAAAAAGTGTTACGTCTGAACGGCTGTTTGTTATTGTTATAGTGAGTTGTATACTTGTGTTGTTTAGATCAATATGAGGCACTCTACGCTGTTTTATATTTGCTTTTCTTTCCGGAAGTATAAATACCAGGCCTAATACGCATCCGACCTTTTCAAAACACAACTGCGTAACATACCACGTTTCTTTTTCACATCGAAGACCAAACGTTATATTTATTGTATCCCGCTCGTATTTCAGCCTACTCTGGGCTTATTCCTAGAAACTCAGCCTTACCATTCAACCGATTTAGATGTTTGATGCTGTCAATTTTTTTCTTCGAATAACGGATACCGCAGGACTCGAAAGAACACTATGTTGTACTCTCGCTATGGCGTTGTAAAATTTATCCGCCAAACACACGCATCTACCAAGTCCCTAACTGTTTTAGGTAAGATCTGTGAATTGCATTGAAGATAGCCCCATTTTAGACCACAATAGTGGAAAAACAAAGGTTTCTCCAAACGTTCAAAAGACCAATGACTGTTCGGAATACCTCACGTGGTCAGTTATTGGGGATCCGAATGCAAAAGTCGCAATACTTTTACGGCAGGGTGAACTGATCGCGGCGGAAAGACAGCTCCTCCCTCGCCACGCGCAAATTTTGGGAACTTGTTTGTCGTATTGGAAGAAAAACTTTACGGACAGGAAGAATACTGTAGTAGAGCATCAGTCACATTTGAATCAGCCCAGTAATCCATCCGAATTGGAGTTGAAATCATTCTCAGTCTTGAAGCAAGCACTCGCCAAGGTTTATGCATCAAACTGTAAGCTGATTGCTTTTGCGGATACATCCGTTGCCGCTGGTGAGGTGAGTTCTGAATTGCGTATTATTGATGTTTCATATCTCTTCAGTTAGGTGTTTTGTTGTGTGTTAGGGGCGAGATGGCTCAAGCGGCTAGAGCTCAAATTCACTGACCGGAAGGTCCGTGGTTCGAACCTGACCTCTGCCTCTGGACTTCCCCTGTCTAGGCTTGGGCAACCTGGCAGTCTCCCAGCCCTCGTGCTTCCTTCTGGTGGCGTGGCAGCTAGGCACCGAAAGTGTACTAAAGCTGAACGATTTTTTGTGTATTTAATTCATATATATATATATATATATATATATATATATATATATATATGTCATCAGACGAAAGTAAAATTACGGGTAACAGCGGACCCTGATGTCGATTGACCCCCCATGAAGACTACAGATACTGTTAAAGTCCAAGTGCCTAGGACAAGTTTGTTTCATGGATTCAATCTTCAGTTGAAAACGCATCGTTTCAGCTATTCGAGGACCGGCAACCCAACATAGGGGCTTGGAGCACTGAACTACGCAATATGGTGATGCCTAACTGGGGACACTGTAGATCGTCTACCAGTCGATAGTAGTGTGGCTCTTCCTACGAACAAAGCAACCTGTTGTACGGTTTTTTTTTCATTATACCATTTCAGAGAATCAAACCTAAGAGTAAAAGAGAAGCCTCCTCACCTCCAAGTGAAAAATGCACTGTGGAAGTACTGTGACGTTAACCTCGATTCACTAGTGGATAACATGAGTACTTTCCCTGTATCTTCTTATCCTATCAGCGGAGATCTGTCAACGTTAATTGTCTTGGCCAATCATTCAACCGAAAGTACGCGCTCAGCGCCATCAGCTACGGTTGCATTACCCCTTAGGGTATCGGAGGTGAAGCATAAGGTCAATTAAGACACGACAAATCGGATTAGTCGTTCTCCCAACCATTGTTGTCGCGATATTAGAATACATCTCTGTAGATTATTTATATTTCTCATTCCAGTTTACCTACGTAACATATACTTCCCCAGGTCCTGCATCCATGGGGTAGAACGGGAAGACTGGCTAGACCGGGACCTTGGCTCGTTCTGGGCCATGAAACATGTTCCAATTAATGAAAAGCTTTCGGCATCGTCTTTCGCCTGACCGTTTGGCAGACCGTGATATCCAGGATGTTTTAAGGTTCCAACAGCTTCGAGACAAAGTAGCTTATTGTGAACAGTGCTCCTCTGCTTATTCCACTGATTGAAAGGTCTTCATTTTGGCGCTGTTAATCTCCAAACAGATCACTGCAGTGTGCAAATTGCAAAATTTACCTGACTGTAGCTGCTCGGGATATGAGTGCGCAAGTGGGTATACTAAGCGCTACTAACACTCAGCGAGAATCGAGACACACGGACAACTGCGAACGCCTGCTGCAGTTATATGCTGACCACAGCAACAAGTTCTGGAGCAGCCTGGCCATATCATGCCCTATGTAAGCCGACCTCAAGCGCAGATAACTCAGTGGTTAAGATAATAACTTACTAACCAGGGGTCCATGGTCCTAATCCAGCACCTCAGTTGCCCCTGTTGATACTTAGACAACCTGACAGTATCTCGATCATCGCGCTTCCTCCAGATGGCATGACAGCTGAACATCGAAAAGTTGTTACAGTTGAGCGATTACTATTATACCGTCTAAATTTTTGAACGTCGAATACGTAACATTTATAAGCACTGTGCCTTTTAAGTAGTTTGGTAACTGGTGGAACTCCGTTCACTAATTTGGAGATTCATCATACAGAGATATTTTTATACGGTGCTTACTCTCTGTGACGACTACCGAGACACATTCTTTTGCTTCCGGAGATTGTTCACCTCCTGAAGATGTTTTTGTGAGAGTTAAATGTATTCCTTCCAGATATACGCATTCAGTGGCTGCATCATCATCAGTATTCGCCATTGACAATAATACACCAGTAATGCATACTGTGCTTAACTGCTGTGCAGTCGTAAGGGGGGATAGCTCTATTAAAGAGTGGAAGAAAGCGAGGGGTGTCGAATTAGTGCGGAGTTTTATATCCCTAAGAGAAACTGTCAAGAGTAAGGTACCTAAATCTTTGGAGTGAGGATTGATCAAGCGTCCTCCGCAAGCTTCAATCAACGATCCAGATAGTCTGGCTAAGTAATGGCAACATGCTCGCCAATGGGATCGGCTGAGTGCTATGTCCTGTAGGGTTTCAACCCACTTGTAGGATCACGTGGTCGCCAGCTAGAAAGCCGCAACGATTCCGCAGCACTTCAGTTTGTCCGTAACTACCTTCATTTCACGTTGCTATTTCGTGGCCTGTTCACCGTAAACCTTACCAGTATCCAGTCGAGCATTGAAAATCAACTAGCAAACGTGAGGCTATACAAATACTTACGCAACCCGCTGCGGCAGTTTTAGGATTACTCGAAGTTTTCAGTCTGTAGCATCTAGACAAAGAGAGCCTCGTAAGCCCAACAACTGTATTTGGACCCTGCATTTGAGATCCAGATATTCTAGACGTCAATCAACAAAGTATTCGGAGTAAATGCAAGAGCAGTTTGTTGGCCTATCTGCCTAAGGGTTCCCACTTTAAAGGCTACAACCAAAACGGGAGGACGAGACCTAAACAGCGGACGCAGAACGGTAGATGTTAGTGATGGCGTGCAATGTGTCAATCCCACAGGTGGCTGACTGACGTGCCTGAAGCTGGGATCTACATAAGGATAATTGTCAAGATGGACAGGTCAGGAGCTAAAAGATGACAATGAAAATAGATGAGAGATGTTAGTAGTCCTATATTTGTGCTCATCAGCCGTGCTTCATGCACCAAGTAGAGCAACCGGGCTGATGTGGCGTGGTTGTGTGTGGGACAAGATATTGCCAGGGAGCCCGATCCCAGAAAATAAAACGATTAGGTCCCCAACTATAGCTTTTCGCTCAAAAGCTTTACCACAAGGTAGTTGTAGTTGGCATAAAACCACTTCAGTAGCCCAAATTCTGAGGAATGTGTTTCCACACTTGTTTCGGCCCCCAACCTGGAGGTCCAAGAAACTTTGTCATCCATTGACAACTTTGTGGGAGGAACTCTGTGGATGCTGAACGGAATCCTTCAGTATAGCAACGAGACATGTTGCATTTGGAACATTCAAACCCGTTATTCGGAGCCAGTTGGAAATCCATTCAGGAAACTGCTGACAATTTTCACGCATCTGAAAGTTGCTATCTCTATTGTAAGCTAGTCAATCGGTAACTTGATTAGAGTACATAATATGCGCCTCCCTGTCCAGTTACAGCTCTTCCCAGAGAAGCTACTGCAAAGTACTGCCAGGACAGAAGCTAGCTAATGTACCGGACGGTGACCAGGTTAGACAGGCTTACTTCAACTGCTTGCCTCAACCCTTATTGTAAATACTGATGTGGGATGATTAGCCCTGGCATCTCACACAAATCCACAGCTTTGTTTTTGTCTCATTACTCAGTTTTTCTGGTTCGCAACATTGCCCTCGATTCATGTCATTCTCGTTGGTGGTCTTGATATAGTGCGTGGGTCAAGCCATTTTTGGTAGATGGGCCTCTTGAAATTCAAAAGGTCTGAAACGGTGGATGCTGGCAGTGGACTGTCTTAGAGGGATTACTGTACCGTCATTCACTTGTCATACTTCTGTGTGCCATTTTGTTTGACTTTCAATCATTCGTTTTTGATCGCTTTACTACACTATTGTTTAAACACATAAACGAGGGTTATTTGATGTCATTGGCCTAAATAAAATTCACATACTGTGTTCGACCCTCTTGAGAATAGCTGTCTCGAAAACTCAATTGTGAGCTCTCCACAATCCGTGGCTTGGGAGGAGTTGATTCTTCTAGCAGATTTCTTGAGAGGAAGCCGTGTAAGAAGCACCAAGTCACCTTGGAGGAAACTACTCACAAAGTTGTTAAAAACTCAGCCCATGAGAAATTCAGCTGAGACTCATTTGAGTCCTGAAAAAAAAACAAATTAGTGTGCAAATGAGTGTATTTGAATTGTGTAAAGAGATGTTTATCTTATGCTCCTATAAAGGTAATGCTTAGCACGGATTCGCGACAGTGCGATATGGTTTTCCACTGCTGACGTCGCTGTCGAGGCCGCTGGAAAATTCTTCAGGTGGGGACGCTAGTGAGAATTAGACTTCAGATGAATCAACGTCGCGAAAAGGTAACAATTGCCCCGTATGTCAGACGGCTTTTGGTGCTTGTCGCATGCTGGGGGCGAAACTAGTCCACTGCTGAGCCAAAAATTCGTCTTACCCTCTTGCCAATATTTGTGCTTGTTTTTTGGGAACAAATCCATCTATCACAATAACGACAATGGGGAAGCAGCACTTATCTCGGTTTTACGATTGTTGCGTTTTTGGCACCCCAATTCATCCATATTCTTGTGTCTTCTTCATTGCAGTATAGTCAGTTCTTACGTTTGTGCAATGCACTTCGACGCGAATCAAAAACTAACAGAGGCCTGTTGTCCGGCAAAATGCTCGTCTCACCCAAAATCTACGAGACCCTTGCGTGCTACTTCGCTAACAAGGTAAATTGATTTCATGTGCGATTGCAAACTGGACTTTATCTGCAAAACCAAAGTTAAGCTCATCCACGTTGCACTGTTAGTGGGGCTATTTTGCATTTCATCCTTCGAGTCATAGTTTACGATGCTGGAAAGGAGTAAAATATTGTGCAGCTGTTTCGGTTCCACTTTTCTCACAACCCCCCGTGAGTGGTAGCCACATGTAGCCGCTCCCTTAGATGGTCAACCTGCACTTGGACAGGATGCAATGCCACGCACCCCCTAACCGCGCACTTCATATCACGTGACCTCGTGTTAACTTACTTCTTGAGTGAAGTCTTCCAGGTTATAAGCTTGTGTGGCGTTTAGGGTACTTCTTCCCCAGCAGACTGTTTGTACCGTCTCTTTTTTCACGAGAAACTATTGTGGTTGTTCCGCCTAAAGTGAGGCACATCACCACTAAATGAAGCTGAAGAAACCATATGAAGACTGATATTCATCTAAGGGTGATCTCCTTAAGAGAGTGATTTTGAAGCTTCAGTCCTCTTTTTAATTTTACGTCAAACAGCTAAGCTGTTGTAAATCGCCTAAGGTCCAGTCTGTTTTCTCTTTTGGAGGATATCCGTGTTCGCTTGATTATGAACTATCCTTTCACTCGAAAGGAATTTTTATCCCTGCCCACATTTGCGTTGGAAAAATGTTGTTTATTATTACTTAATTTGGACCCTGCCTCTAGCTGTAGTGCAGCCCAATGCGTAGAAATCGTTAAGTTCTACCTCTGGAGCTTCACGAATGACCTTTGATCAGGCCCATGCACCGTAGGTTTTCGTGTTTATACCTTTGGAATGCCGAAAGCCATATCAGTATCCACCTTCTATTTTGAAAATCATCAGCTTCAAAATATGCACAGTCTGCTTTTCATCACCTGAAATTTATATTTACGTACTACAGAGCCAATTAATTGGACAGCAAATGTAGTCTAGAAACAATTAGGAACATCTTTCTGTAACTGCCCAATGCGAATACAGGGTTAGCGTGCCCGGTGCCACTCCGAAGTGCTCTAACTTGCAGGGTCAATGGCTACATACAGCCCACCAGTAGCCCTTTTCTCCTCAATCAGGTTTTCATCTCAGGAGTTACTGATACAGCGTTTATTACTGCCTACTTCACTCTATATTTTAACAACCGGTTAAAAATATGTCGGGAATGACTCTTCACTCATGTGAGTTGGAGTTTTTTGCCACTTGAATGGTTTTGGGCAGCTATTTGTCGAAATATTTCGGTACCGGTTGCTCAAATTCAGCTGATACGCGGTGCACAATCAACTATGGCAAGGGAATCGTGCATGTGAGGTGCACCATTTCTTGAACTTTTTCCCTTGTAGTCTTTTTCGCAACTCTAGTTTTACTGTTAACTCTTGAACGGGTTCATCTGTTTTGAGTTTTCGTTCTTTTACTCATCCTCATAAACAGGCGGATTGGCTCAGTTTGGATGGTTTACTCAAACGCATGGAGCAAGACGGAATCACGGTTACTCCAATGATCTACGTGTGTGCCGTCGAATGTTTGGGACGTTTGTTGGCGCTTCACTGTCCAGCTACGGAGAAATCCACCATCGCTCCAACGTTCGCATCCCATTTTCCTAATTCTCAGTCGATCCGCGATCCAGTAGTGCCCCACAAACTGGCATCCAACTCTAAGGAGATAGTGCACAAAATTGAACATATGCTGCACCTTATTGGACAGAAGGCAGAATCACAGGTCTCTTTCGCTTCTTTGTGCGGCAGATTGTATATATTTTTTATGGTGTATTGATTCACTGGCTTTCCCACGTTTTTATGTATTCAGTTAAAAAACGCTTATTTTCGACAGATACTCATCTGCATATCTATTTGGTTTTCACGGGATACTCAGCTGAATCTCTCGTTTATCAGTTCGTCGAACGTTTCCACTCATCAATTGGGAATTTAAGTTGTCTCCTTGCTTATGGATAGCTGGACGATTTATTGAGCTTTTGCTCTCGTTCTCTCCTATCCGGATGTGACCAGTGTTAGTTCTTTACTGAAGCTAGTCATCAGTGTATATCCTCAACCCTACCTGTACTTAACCACGGTTCACCTTACAGATTCTACCATTGCACGCGTGAACAGGCTCGCCTGATACCTGGCTTGGATGTCGTCTCACACAATGGTCCGATAATTGTGCTGTCGTGCTGTTCATCAGCATTTTTAGCTAACGACACAGGTGGTTTGGTCCTGCTGGATAATTTTGGTGTATCTAATTGTATTTTTGGGGTTTGTTGAACTCGTATCCAGTTCATGTACACCGGTGAGTAGGCGAACGATAAGGTGCACGAAGTGTCGTTGATATTCAGATGCGTAATTCCGCATGCGTGGAATTACTGCCGGAATTATTTAGGTTCGGTTGCTCACGGTTACAATGAGTTTATTTGACTGTTACAGTCCTGACGCAGTACTCACATGTACTTCGACGTGATTTGTAGGTAAAAACACCCTCCTGTTGACCGCTTCTAGGTAGTTCTTTTTTGTATTGACCGCTCGCATTTCACCTTTTTCGCTATCAATGGTTGTAACCACGAGCGCTGAGTGATGAGCGATAATGTGCTTTGAATTCCCCCCAACACACAGGGCGTCGATATTTACCAGCAACTGTTGTGCATGCCGCGCGCGCCGGGTACGATCCATCATGTTCTCCTTGGATTAGAACGTATTCAGAGACGGTCAGTACCGAATGGTGTATCCTCGAATCGTCCGGAACGTACGATTATCTTCCCCTATGTAAATGAACCCAAACAGTCCGACCGAATCTATCCAGTTGAGAAGCATTTGAATACCGTACAGGTGAGCGTTTCCTTTCTCGGTGTTAGGCGGAGTCGATACGTTTTCTCGTTCAGAGGTGCCTTTTAAGTGGTCTTTTACTCGCGGAATTACCCTAATACGTGATGGCGATCAATTACTTGCCTACTAGTCGGCGAAAAGTAATATTAACCAACATCAGATTGGCGGAGTTTCACAGAACCGTTCACCAAAGGAATGCTGCTGGACGCATATTAGCCCATTTCCAAGCTGTACACACTGCGAAACTGCGAAATTAATGGATTTACACTGGAGAAACTTCCAAGCGAAGCGTTGAGGAAACATGCCACGAAAACAACCAGCACTAGGTAGCAAAAGCTCGAGAGCACTTTTTTATCTATGGTTACTTTTGCTTATCGTGTACGCTGATTGCCATCTGTAGCTTCGGAAGCTACTTTAGTCCTTTGTTAGCCAACGACTGTGTCCACATTCCACTGAATTCGCACGCAGAACGAAATCTCGTTTGAAACGTCGAAAATCTGATTGTCTACAACTTTGTCTACCATTCGGACAAGGTGGTACAAATTCAATTCTTTCACCGCAAAACTTATAAAACTGTAACAAAGCTATATAATGGTACGCTTCCATCGTTAGCATATGTCCAAAACAACGTTACCAGTCAACAAGATAAAGGCAGTACCAAAGTAATAGATCCTTCTGAACGCAGTGTACGGGCTTGAATGGTGCCTCAAAAATCTACAGTCTGTGTGCCACCGGAGTTTGGTTCAAAACGTAGAATCTCAAAAGTTGTACGGGCCTTCGGTGCGAGACATGAAGAAATCCAGTCAACACAGAATCACATGACACGAGCTGCCCGATTGAAGAACAGATGGTGCCACATCCTACCCAAGTCACACTGTTGATCAACCGCGTGTAGCCAAAGTAGTATAATGTTTATCTTCTAACTAGAAGTTCACGGGTTCTAATGTCCAATAGATTCGTAAGACTCAGATTATCCTCAACAAGGCAGAAACAACCGTACGTGCCCCACGTTTTTCCACAGTAACTTGACTTGCAGGATGAATTCTTGATTGGATGTTGAAAAATCCACTAACTATCCATGAACTAAAAGATTGACTGTCTGTAGTCGATTCGTATGAAATGAAGGCTTGATGTTGGGCCTGTCTGTTCCAGTCTGTTATCTGTCTGTAGCAGTATTTTTATCGCATGATTTTCATGATACGGAGACTCTTTCCGAACTAAACGACTGATAAGTATCTGCATGTCCCTCTCTTGTCACTCCAGCACCGAATGCGGAATGCATTTGCTGGTGCCATTCCTCAAAATGAGGATTTGCTGACCTGTTTCGAGCGGCAGCTTGCTTTGGAATGCAAAGGCGAAGTCAGGATCCCACCAGTGCTCCCGCCGTACCCAATGAAGGACAGTATCAGCTCATTCAAAAAGCCCTTGCCAAACATGCTTAAAAAGCGGTTGGTAAGTCTATAGCCCTTATCGTTTCGTTTTCACCGTAGCGAGTTACATTCTATTGCCTGCCCACTTTTTGCAATCAGTTCGGTCGATCTATTATCGTATACACCAGAGTTGGTGTTGTACCTTAAAAATTCGCATGTTTTTGTATGTATGTGGCCAAACCCGGCCGTATAATATTCTACGGGAATCTTACCCTACAATTCCACAGCGTGCGGATGTCCTAGGTCTCTATGTGTATTCATTTGTGGGACACGATTTACTGATCATCGTACTGAACTAACTGAGCATCATCTGACTTTGACTTACTGCACATATTAGTAGGCACTCTGGCAAAATGTCTAGCAAGAATTCCAGCATCACAGCCGATGACAGCAAATGAAAACACATCCCAACCAAGGCATACATTCACGCTCACAACCACACAGATGTAACACACCCATGGTGGTTGCATTTGACAGCCCTTATTCACTTGGTTGCAAATTCTTGAAAATGCACGCCATCCACAACGTCGGATTATAATGGTTTATTTCACAACTCTGCCTTGACTTAGGCATAATTTCCATGACTTTCCGAGGCTTTCAAATTGACTAGAGTTCGCTTCACTAAATTTCAACTGGTCATTCTACTTACGGTCAGGTGGTAGTGGGAATCAGGAGCGAACTTTGAGCGGGTTGGTGCATTTCTCTAACAGGAAATTTCCGACTCTATTTTTTTCAGCGTCACGCTCTGTTGGAAGAACAATCTCGATGGCGTATAAAACTGCTTGCAGGATTCAAAGATCTTCTCCAGCGACTTAAACGAAGTCATACACGTGCGTTCATTCACCCCTCAACGTGTAATATTCAGATAGACGATTCCTAGCACGACGCGCATTGAGCACTGTTCAGATCAGTTTTGCTTCTTATTAGGCTGTGGTTGTCCGAACTCAGTATTTAACTGACACTCCATACTCTGAATACAACTGCATCTGCCGTAAGTATGAGAGATGCACTGTTGTTATTCGCTGAATGGTGCTGTGAACGGATATCCCGGTGTTCAGCTCAGCTCACTTTTTTATCCTGGAATATTTGGACAAGCCGTATCAGTTGCGTTTACCAGGTTGTGGATGACTCGACCCACTCATCGAACTGAAGCATTAAGCGAATGCGATGAAGAACAAGATCCTCTGATCATCAGTATTCGAATAACCGACCTCATTTTCCTAGATAGACATATTTTCAAGCAACCAGTCGAGTTAAATTTGTTGGGATAACTTGCCTCCAGCTGAAATAGAATTGTTTAATCGAGATTTCTTCTCGTAACTGAAGAAAAAATGCTGAAAGGTCGAGAAGCACTGTACAATTTATCCATTTTTAGTGTCTCATCCTCATTAGGTATCATCAAGTGTGCATCTCACGAATCCCTTTGGAGATTCGAACCCGTGGCCTCCTAGCTAGTAGTTTGAATACAACGGACGGTTGATCAATAGTATAATTATCCAGCGATTAGATGGCATATGACGCCATACTTCCTTCAACCACAGGATACATGTCACGTGGTCACACCTGTTGACCGGCCCCTAGAATGAAGACTTCTCAAATAGAGACTTCACTTGTCGTGTGAATTATTCTTCTCAGATACCCATAGATTGTTGATAGTTTGAGGCATTGGAGTTCTCACTTGAGATTTTGTCCTTAAGGTGAAGCTAATCTGTGTTGAAATGCCGAGAAGCACTGTGCAACTGTTTCATCCTTGTTGCTGCTCATCAGCTCTAGGGAGATTCGAACCCGCGACCTCCCGGTTGGTAGTTTGCACACTTAACCTTCCGACCACGAGCTGTTGATCAGAAGTGTAATTACCTCACACTTAGATGGCATGTAGTGCCACTCGTCCTTCAGTCAGAATTGTATGATAATCGGTTTGTAAACTAAGACGTACAACCAAGGGTTTCCAGTCCACCCTTGATACTCCGTTGATGTTAGACATGACTTTTCCATAGAAATATTATGGTTGCTGGTTATTCGGCTGCATCATCTAGCTAGCCTGGTTTAAATTGATCCAGGAATGAAGTCATGAAACGTTTAAATCGTTCGAACTTATTGTTAGCTATCTAATAGTGGGTGCTTGCAAGAGTTTTGCAACGTAACTCCGTGAAAGATTATGCACAAGCATGCAATCGAGCATAGTTGGTGCTGGCGGAACAATGGTTACCTTGGTGCGCCTGACAATCTGAAGTGACGTCTACACCACGACCGTAGATCCCCTCTGTGATGAATCAAGATACGCTTTAACCTGACTTCCGACCATCATCATGAAGAATACCGACGCATCAGTGGAGCCAACTCGTCTGGTTGCTGGTTATTCGGCTGCATCATCTAGCTAGCCTGGTTTAAATTGATCCAGGAATGAAGTCATGAAACGTTTAAATCGTTCGAACTTATTGTTAGCTATCTAATAGTGGGTGCTTGCAAGAGTTTTGCAACGTAACTCCGTGAAAGATTATGCACAAGCATGCAATTGAAATGCAGTAGTCCGTAGAAAAAAAGTAAGAAGCGCTGAAAAGCTTTAGTTAGAGAGTTCCACCAGTGCGTATCTCGCGTACTTTTAGCCTTCTGTAATAGAAACTACAAACCTTGTCTTTATTTACAAATTACTAAATCTGCAGAATGGATAATTACGGATAAATACGAGTCGCACTCTGACCATACCCTTCACATACCGCCGTCCTCCCTTTGTCTGTTGAACTACATACCTTTTTTCAGTATCAAGCCATCTCGGGAGCTTTGTTGATATTCTATGACAAATGCCATAAAGTTTAAAGATGCGAAAAGTGTAGTATTATCTCCCGTGGATATGAAAACCCTTCAAGGGATATTTCAAGTCCTGTCAGTCAGCCGTGAATTTTATCGACCATGGACCTCGATTTTCAATGCGTCAAGCGTCTTTTCAGATCAGAGTTTGTACGGATCTCTTGAAGCTTGTTCGGTCTTGGTGTGGTTTGTAATAAGTTCTGTTCACGAAGCGTCAATGAAGATGCCCTTAATCGGAAATCAACTCGTAATCTCTTCCTGATTATAAACGTTTCTCGGAGCATATGCCATTAGTAAAATTTGCAAACCACTAATGCCCAGTCACGTCCTTTTGCTTGTTTTCAGGCGACAAGATAACTGTCTACCCGTTTTTGAAGATTCTTCCGGCACCGCACTATGTTGATTTGATGATCAAAGTACGTACTGCCCCTCCTCTCCCGTCCTTATTCCTTACGTCAGCACCCGTAAAGATTGGTTGGAAAGCTGTAGCACACAAAATACCTACATTTTATCACAATGGAGCACATTTTTAATGGGATACTGGAGCAAAAAACAGTAACCCAGCAAACGCAGTGGGCCGCTGTACTCCGTGACATGTTGATCCAGGACTCTCAGTTAGACACTATTATAGGTGCATTGCACTGATAAATATCTCTTATATTGGTGGACGTTCTTTATGTTGTGATTTTGTTTCTTTGGTTTATATTCACACTAGTATAAACTTTGCACTTGCTCTTTCCATCGCTTCCGTATAGGGTATTAAAGACCTTACTGTATACCTGTAACTTGGCTGGATTACAATGGATTTCTATTCTTTCATTCAGGCAATCGACAATGTGGCGCTGAACTCAACCCTACAACACGTGAGCTCCACTTTAGTCTGCATGGATCTAGGCCGTCGTGTTCAAGCTGCTTGCGAATTATACCGGAAGGAGAAATTAGGTGTTTTGGATGAGGTTCGTTTTTTGTGTTCTCACCTGTTCCACCTTCTTCCAACCGTGATGCAGTAGACGAAGTTGGATAACAGTTTCTAATGCCTTTTCACCTGTTTCATCCTTCAGGTCCTGTAGCTAAGTGAAATTGGTCGAAAATCGATCCATCTTTATAGTGTGTATTGCTTTCAAAAGACTATGGAGCGTTGTTAGCGGGTCGGCATAAAGTGCATACCCCTCGTTATATAGCACTGGGCTCTTTATGCACTTGTACAGACTGGTGATGTGACTAGTTTTAGATCTGTTGCTTCCACGTCATGACCGCAGTAGAAACACACTTCTTTAAAGTCTGTCTCTGAAAGCTCACCTAAGTGATCTACTGCGGGAATTTTGGATGATGTGTTTCCACTCAGCTCTTGATGGTGTAGTGCGTCGTAAGGTATCTCCTAGCATCCTAGTATCCCAGTTAGTCAGTATTCCAGCATTTACCCACCATTACCTTAGCAAACAAGATTTTTAAGGAAGCACTGCTGTTTCGAAGCCACTGTGCTCTTAGTGGCCGCGTGTTTGGATCATATTTGACCGGCAAAACAGCACTTGATCCCTTACTCTTCATTATTCTTCAACAGGAAAACTCCCAAACAAGGGTTACTCGAGGTTGTTAGGCGCAAATGAACTGACCAGGTGGTCCGTAGTTCGGGTATAGGCTCGGCATGTCGACTCCTCGTTTTCAGACGTGAGACGCCTCTCAAGTATCACGGCCCTTCCGGCTCCTGAGTAGTTTTGACTGAGAATCCTTTGCGAACTGCACCCTGCGCAATGCAGCACACAACGGCAAACAAATTTCTGGCTGGCAGTCAGGATGGGGAGTAACAGCACATTTGTTCATTCGGTTGGTTGCGTGCCGTGTCTCATGGGGTTTTCATCGCTGGGTCACCTGAGCCCCAACCAGGAAAGCAAATGTAACCTACGATACTCCGTTTCTTTTACGCTAACACGACATGACCTGTCTCCTGTATAAGTGAGACAAAAACAACTATTTGGTGGGCGGAGATATTAGGCTTTCACGGTGCATGTCCCAAACCTACCGGGTCTGATGAATTTTATGTGCTGCCGCACCATTTCCCTGAGGATATGTTGCCGTCCGCTAATTCTGCTAAATCAAGAAGGCGCCGGTGATCTTAGGTGAACTACTGTTCTGCGACCATCGAAGTCCACCTGGTATATTGTTGCTGCAAAAGTGAATGGAGCTTCTGTTGCAATATATTGGCAATATAACTTTAAACTACCTGAATCGACTCTGGGTGCTTGTTCTCGAATGATGATCATTTTCAAGAGGATTTTCGGAAGGTCATGCAGGATATTGTCACTTGTCTTCATTGTTTTGGACATCGCTTACACAAGGATTAAATTGAATGCTATTAAGAGTGCTTTAAAAAGCAAGGTTAAAACGGGTCCGCCATTAGCGGACGACATTCAGGTCGCCGAACAACTCATGCGGTTCGGGTCGAAACAACAACTGAGTTATTCTGTGGACTGTCTCATCCATATGCCTCCATTTTTGAGCCAGCATTCTAAAACTGGACGTTACACTTCCGAAACCGTATTGCTTACGCCACACGGCACATTATGATCAAGAAGCTAAATCCCACACACAAAAGCTTCTCTGGATTCTGTTCGTTCAAACAGTTTTCATTTTGCTTATGCGTACACTGAATTCTTTCCAACCTGGTGAAACAGGTGGTTCGATTCTGTGAGTCAGCTCTACTGAGTGACACTCCATTGCTGGATGTGTTGCCTTTTGTTATACTGTTTTTGGGAGACGGGGGTAGGCAGCACTGTATTGCGATGACTGCAGCTTCTTGCATTTCTCGATCCCACAACAAAAACGGCGTTTAGAATATGATGAGGTGGTCCTAAGTTATACGAACGGCCTAATCGCAGTTCTAACGAACATGCTATCGACCTGCAGTCAGAAATCGGGTGCCAACACCCAAGTCGGAGAATTTTTGTTTGCTATTGGGGAACCTTCACATGAATTAGTTAAACAGTGAAGATCTGCTTATCTAGTAAGTCGGTTAAGTACTATGCTATGCCACACTTCGACCCACGATTGACCGCATGCTCGTTCCTTATTCGGTTTTGTTTTCAGTGTTGTTCTAAATAACATTTGTTGCCCCACAAATGGGATAACCTTACCATACCATTCGTTTGTGTTTCAGCTCAAACAGGTTTACACTTCTTACGCAGAACAGTTTAATCGGGAAGATATGCCATTACCGCAGTTTCGGCATATGTGGCTTTCTGTGACAAAAAGTCGCGTGAACGAAGGAGCAGTCAGTCTGGTAAGTAGCACAACAAACCCATCTTCATTTTTTTTTCATCTAATGGCTTTTTTGAACCTCGAGGTCGTTTCTCGCTTCAAATAAATTTGCGTCCTGCGCGATCATATCCACATTTCGCTGAGAACACTTGAGCACGATAGTTTCTGTCTGATCCACCCAAACTAGCGTTTGCATTAGAGCAGCCACCAAAGGTACACAACGACTACAACGGGCGCTCGGCGGATACTGTAACATGATTGGCTGTTAGGCCCACAGTTTCGACAAATCGGAGCTTGACTTCTTACTGAACCGGCGAGCGGCACGATGTTCTTACCAATCGCGTGCGAGCCAGGCTTGTTGGCCGTTACAGTGCCTAATTGCCAGTGGTAGGGTTATTTTGCTGTAGAATTCCGCCAAAGCCAAATTCATGTGCAAATGACAGTGTGTGACTGCCAGGTTACACAAGCCTAGATAGGAGCAGCCGATGTTGGATTCGAAGCACTAGCCTCCTAGTCAGTAAGTTCTTGCCTTAACTGCTGAGCTATCCGAGGTGGCATGTACACAACGTCATATGAGACGTATTTTCAGTTATGAAGACATGAAATGACAATCGTATTGCTTCCGTATCCAGTATAGACGATGGAGTTTGACATAGTTAAGTGCACATGCAGCAACCCTTTATCCTCAGTATATTTCGTGACAATTGCTGTTTCCATTGAGCCAAACCAATGTTCTCCAAAAATACCAGTTATCACAAAGTGCTCTGTTTTTTTGGATCTGGACACCATCAACCAAGCCTACTACATAACTTATGTCTCAGGGTAACAATCAATGGATACAGTGAAGAAATTCTTAGATAAAGATTTTTCCAGCGTGTGGTAACAACGACGTTGCCTGCCAGATTTGGCAGACAACGTAACCTCGGGTATTATTGCATCAGAGTGATTTCAATCACCGTCCCACACGTGGTTGGCGATTTACAATAATCGTTCTTCACATTCTTGGGAAACGCCTATCAGTCACTTACTTTCGCTTATTTCGAGCCCTATTCACTTACCTTTCTCAACATTATAATATAGTATCTGTTGGTCTATTTTATTGATGTTATCACGTCTTTTTTTACATTGTAAGAATGTTTGGTATATCCTCTGTACACACACTGCTGGTCTACTTCCTTCTAGTTACCTTTATCAAATTATCGCCATTCACCCGACTGCGCAATCATGATATCTTTTCGATTGATGGCGAAACGTCTGCAAACCAACTGAGAAGCTCGTCGAACAGGTTAAGGGCACCCTGATCACTGATCAATAAGTACATCCTGGCTCGACTCACAGCCTTCAACGAGTGGTGGTCGGTCTTCTGTGCTGCAATGATCCTGCGGGCTATACTGGCTGCAACTCAGTTCCTAGGAGTTCAGTCATGCTAGGAAGGCCAACGGGGAGCAGTCCAATGGAGATCAGCGAGTTCGCGTACTGCAAGTAATCGTGTTACGAAGCAGTCTGGGGGTAGAGTTGTCGCGTCCTCTCCGGTAGGGGTGTCAACACAGTAAGACGTTTCCCCAAGGTGACCGGCTTGCCCATATTCATGGAAACCGGTGCTTCCTTCCCGCGAGGAAGGGTGGGTTAGTAAAAGTCAGTCCTGAGAACCACACATTCCGATCGACCAAAATTTGACCGTGACCGCCAGTGCATCATTGAATAGAGATAATAGATAATCGTTCAGCTTTAACACTCCTTCGGTGTCTAGCTGCCATGCCACTCAAAGAAAGCATGAGCGCTGGGATACTGCCAGGAGAAGTTGGGAGGCCGAGATCAGGTTCCGGACCAGGTTCCGGTCAGTAAATTCGTGCCCTAACCACTGGACCACTTCGCCCCATTTGAATACGGTCAGAATACTTTTAAAACCAAGGAGTCTGGTGCTGCTCAAAAGGCACCCGCTGAGTTTATCAACTCAGTGCTTAATGGGTTTACTTGAATTTATTGCCAGTACCCCTTGATTTTGATGTTCGCTTTTCTAGTGCTTAATAAATCAACTATTCTGTTCATCCGTAAGTGGTTCACCAATTGGATTGAACGTGTGCTCTCTTTCTTTACGGCTCTTCTCTGTTCCTTCATTCTGTTAGCATCATGATTGGCCGGAGTGGACGCCCTTCGTGCAATATATGGTGGGCCGCGCTTTGTACAGCCTTATATATGACAAGTTGAAATTTGACAGGAATCGACCAATCCTAGTTCGTCATCAAACATTAGATAATCTTGCTAATCGGACTGGTCCCAACATGAAAGACGTTTCGACGGCATCCCCTAATCTCATACGATCCCAGGAATCGCCATTACTGTTCGAAGTGTTTACGCAATTTGTCAGTGAAATGCGTATGGAAGTGAAGGTGAGTGGTTTCGATTTCGTCGTGATGAATGTCTTGCCTTCTCGAGTAACACTGTTCCGTTGTACTCTCTCCATAGATACTGGGTTGGGCAAGCGCCTATTTTTTCTCTCTTTCCCGTCCGTTCTTTTTCGTCTTATGATTCCTTCAAATGGACTAAAAGATACACAAAGCAACGTCATGAAAGCCAGTCTCTGTCCGTGACGAATATGAAAACCCAGCTCTCTTGCGCTGTGTGGCTTAATCAGTCCTTTCAGCTGTTACAAGCAGATTGACTAGTCGCATCGCAGAGTACTTATGGGACGTCACCCTTCTGAGTACACGGTGTGTGTAGTTAGTTCTATGTGCTTAGCTTGTCTTACGCCCGCGGAGTAGTTCACCCGTCACCTACATTCATTTGGGCATCTGTGTAGCCGCTGCCATCACGTTCACAATGAACCATTCTAAGAGATTCACCTATCGGAATTAATCACGGTACTCGTGCCCAAGTCAACTATGGGATAGTGTCCTGACCGCTCTCTTTGCCACCTTGAGAAACACTCGCTTATAAGTCGCGATTCGAAGTTCGTTTTGAATAAAATAGCGGAACTGTAACAAAATTGTATCGACGCACGGAAACATTTAAATACTTTGCAGTAGCTCGAGATAATGTAGAGTTTGACCATTTTAATTCCTTTTGGGGGCGGATGATGACGGCAATCTCTCTTGACTTACGAATTCCCCCATCCATGTAGATCCACCCCACTTTGGCCAATTGGTACCGAGATGCCGAATATCCTCCATTGAGCTTCCACCCAGCCGAGCTTCCCATGCTTTGTCCTCCAGTCCCTTGGACCGACTTGCACGATGCTGGATATCTGGTCTCACGCAGTAAGCCTTTATGACAATTACAACGTATCACGACAGTGTTTTGAGCACTGTTCGTTCTTTTTTCATTTTCACGTGCTTACACAGAACCTTGATTGTATTCCAAATACCAACTCAGTATTCTCTGTATGTCCATAAGATTATGCCACACGGCTCATGCGACAGACCCGTGCATCCCCAGTCGCGGAACCAGCTCTTGACGACGATTTGGATTTCGATGCGAAACGTATTCCATCGGTTCTCGACGCCCTCAACTGTTTGGCATCCTGTCCGTGGCGAGTGAACGAGCCGGTAAGTATACACGTTACTCAAATAAATTTTTGCATGATGTTAACCTTACTCAGCATCCTTATATAGTGGTTAGATTAAGCCACCGGCGATATCCAATACCGAAGCATTTGCATAACAGCCCTCCACGAGCAAGTAAAACGGGGGTTCGGACTACAATACCCAGATTAGGTACAACCATGCGGAAAGGGAGATGACCTGCATGGTGGTTGCCCACCTATTCCTCACTGGCTAGTAAAGCTTTTTGGGATATAAGGTGTGTAGGTATCGGTGAATTAGATTAGTGTTGACGCGGGACTCAGCTAAACCCCAGCTAAATCTCGTGCATGCTTTTTTTCAACTAAATACGTATAATATGTATGAAACACTTCGTGTTTCAGTTGGTGCGATATTCAAGATAACGCATTATTTTTTCACTTCTTCAGCAGCTCGCTACCGGTTTCACCATTCTTGGGGCTTGTCAGACATGCAGTGTCCCCAGTTTCTGTTGACCTTATTTCTTACTTAAACACAAAATTGACAAAATACGCTCTACACAAAAGAGCTATCGGTCAGCCAACGGCCTGCTAGACTATCATGCCTTCTTGGATGGTTATTGAAAAGTACCATTGAGAATCATCATGTTATCGCTTAGAATTCCTTCCTTCAACAAGGGCAGCAAATTAGACCGAAAATATTCTCTCTTATACACATATATATATATATATATATATATATATATATATATATCTGTTTCAAAAGGACAGAACATCATCACGGTTGAACCATAATGCCACCTTTGAATTCCGGTCGGATAACACAAGTTCTCATTAAGCTTATGCTAAGCCTTTTGAAATCCAACCACATTTTGACATTTCTCAAGTTCGTGGCCCGGTATTTATCAGATCCTCCGCGCGGATGGAACCTCTTTAGCTTACCCACTGAGGAATCACTACAGGTGGAAGGAAGAAGGCCTTCGCTGCGAAGTTATCTATTAGAAAATGCCAACTGAAGAGTTACAGACTATTGGACAGGGAAGCAAAATTCTCATATGCATCTTGTTTACAAAAACTGAACATTCATCTTCCCTTGAACGCGTCTTCCTGAACTTTCGTGGAAATTCATTGACTGCTGCTCAAATCCAAGCAAATGCGACTCCACAAGTTCCGTCGTAATAGATCTCACTTTCCAAGAGACGCAAAGCATATTTACGGGAAAACGTACTACTCGCATGCCCCCCAATCAGTAGTATCACCGTTACACAGGTTGTAGTCAGCATAAGTCTGTGGTTGTCGGGACAAAGAATTGAACGTAATGCACCGGGATTCGTTTGATACCAGTAAATGTTTCAGCTGTATTCTGTCCCTCTATTTCGCACTATCAAGATAAAAATGCGAAATTTGGTTTCTTCTGTTGTCCTCTCCACTTGATCCACTTAGCTTTCTCCAGTCTTTCTTTTCGTACGTCGTTCCCAACACAGATCTTGGATGCACTCATCAAGGTGGCTCGTGCGGGAGGAAGTCGTAAGCTCAGCCTCCCAGAAATTGTCAGACAAACAATGCCTTCTCCGTTGTCGATCACCAAGTGAGTAATTCCTGATTCGCACTCCCTGATGGTGAACCATAATGTGCCCGTGAAAATCAGTTCTCGTGTTATTTACGGCATTTTGGAATCATCGCGGTCTTCTAACCTTATGCCTTATCTTTGATAAGGCGTTCACAATTATTGATTGTTGATCTGCTCGCCGAGCTTGACAATTGGCTTGTAAACGTTTCGTCACCACACGAGGAGACATCATCAATGTGCAGTTTTCCCTAACGCTGTGAGACACAAACTAAGCGATCTGATGGCGATTCTTTCGGTGATTAGTCCTCAATGGACAGTGCAACAAGGGTGCTCAACCGCTCTAAGTTGGCTAATATACGGACTGAATACACCTACTCTCGTCTACTTTTTGAAGCCCAGCGTAGTGGATGGTTAGACTCGAGTGTATTGCCGTTAGCCGGAAATCCCTTGTCAGGTCAATACAATGATCCACAAACTTGGTTGAACGGAATCATTCTTGCTTGTTAGGAACTCTATCATCAACTATATACTATATATATTTATACCTCTTATTTCAAAGCCCTGTATGTACGCTCGACCGAAGCAACATCTGACACTATCGAATGTTCGAAAGACGTCCCGTTCAAGATCCTGGATTGAATCACGCGGTAGTGAAGGAGCTGAGTGGAATGCTAGGTTTTGAGTTGGTAATGCACAAATGCCCGGATGACTTATGGCCAACACTACCTATGTGATAGATTAACTAGTAACTATCAGTTAGGTTGTTGCATGACTCAACTTTATCACGAATTTATAATGTGGGTGACAAGTGTCACTGTCTTACGTGTTCGAATAAAATGCATACCTCGGCAGAATTGGAAACCACCAAACAGTCTCAAGTATCTCCTTGGACTAGTAAAGCTATGGCTTCCAGATTCGGAGGGAGTAAGTTGAAAGTTTGTCTTCATTTGCGCTGGACTGCTATAGTATGTGCAACCAGTCTATACCCAATTGAAGCCGTCAAACGCTTGGGAAACAAATACGGAAACCGCGGGTTTTTGTTTTACCACGAAGGATGAAATTTAACAAGTTTTCACTATCAATTTGTGGTCGAGTTGGACAATCAGCTCATTTCTGGACAACACCTCGTTAACCATAGACTTGCTGGCAGGAACTACTACGGTTTCGCTTTACGGTTCCCCTCCCGCGTCTCAAAAACTCCGAGGAATCCTTTTGCGGTCGGTAATCTCTGATCTATATCCTCCATGCTTTCAAAGTGCTTATGTCGACACCACTCACCTAGAAGTTGATTCGGGAACATTCTAAGAAGCTTGTGAAAGAGGTCCACATCAACTGGTTTACATCTCTCGGAGGTAGATAAAGAGTCTCATCATTGATTTTTTTCTAGTTTTGGCTGTGTTGTGCAACCGATTTGCAAGTATATCCAAACTACTGGTTCAAATACGAGTGTTCGCCGCTTGTTCTTTACGGTCAATCTTCCTCATACGGGGGAGGAAGCACCTGTGGCTCCCAGTGGATCTGCTGTATTCGCCTAGAAATTGAAGCGTGAATACAACAGCACTTGGTCGTTTGTTGCTTCAGTACTCAAGCTTCACGGTGCAGATTAGTTAGTGACAAACGGCTTCTCATGTATGAATTGGTAGGCATGCATTGACTTTCCTCGTTTTCAACATCCTATTCTACATAAGTCGTGTACGTCTTTGTGGGGTTCATAAAACTTCGACATACCTCCAAATGCGGGTGGGGTTTTAAGGTCTGCAGCTGCTATACACACTGTGTTGTTCAGTGTGCACCGACCTACATCCCAACGTGTCGGAATATTGGTACCTCAAATGCCGTTGATCAGGTGGTAGTTGATCTGTTCACTGAGGTGAATACTTCGGTTGCACACGTTCCGTCACCATAGAAGGGGATATCGTCAGTGCGCACTTCGATAGCTGGTTCCTGCACTTCGGTTGTGTTTATTTACTTTCTAAGGCATAGTGGTTGGTTATTTGAGGATTGTTTGGTTCTTAATTTGATTTCAGGATTGGCGTTCCGTTGTGATCTGCCTGTCCTGTATGTGGTTGGTTCGTTTCAGGAGTTCATTTCCTTCATTCCAAATCGACCCACTCCTCTTTTCCTGTCCGTTGCGTTTCATACGCTCTTCATGCCACTTAGGCACCATCTACTTTTCTTTTAATCGTTTCTGCACATCAAGATCAGGAGGACATTGATTCAGCTGGGACTACGTCCATACACTATCCCAAGAAAGAACCAAGAATTAACCCGAATTTTCGCGGACTTGCTACTCAAGTGAGAAAGCCACCAACAGACACATTGAGGTCGACCCAGTTTGTCAGTCTCTCAAAAACAAAGAACTTCGAAACACTCTAGCCTAAAACCGTACAAGAGGCGAATAGAAGACGCTGACAAAAATTAAAGCCAATCCGCAACTGGAAGATCCAACGAAATATGAAATGAGAGTTGCATGGAAAAGGCACTTAATGTGCCGGTCAAGAGCCACAGTGAAGCAGAAACGTCGGATGAACCAATCAAACACAAGAAGGTAGACTACTAAAACTAGGTGCCGAAATTGAGCTATTCAATAAACCAACCAGATACAATGGGTGCATACCACGTCGCAATGCTAATTCCGAACTGACTGGTCAAATTACGTGCCAGACAATCCTCAAACCACCGATCACTGCTCTCTAAAAACTACTCAAACGCAACATGAAGTTCAGGAATCACCCAGCCAATTATCCCTGTCCTGACTGGCGGGTCAATCAATCGTCACGACCAGGACAGTTACTGGGTCGTCGTCCGATGAGTAGGGCACACCAATCACATCGCTCAAGTGTGAACACGTTCGCCCGTTCAGACGTGATAATTCAGATGCGTCCAACGGGCGTTGGTGGAGTAGTGGTTACACGCTCGCCTCTCATGTCAGATGTCCGTGGTTCAAATCGCGGCACGGCCATTGGATATGCACTGCTGATGAGCTCTAATAAGAGCGGAACTCGAGTCCAGTGCTTCCGGTGTGGACTCACCGGAATAATTACGCCAGAACAGGAACACGGCCGTTCAAACGAGAGTGGTGTGGCTATGAACAAAATACCTATTCCGCAAAACCCCAAAATTGTATCCCAAATGAGCTACTAATATTTAGACACATTACCTCAAATGCGTTTGTTGGTTATTGACCAGGTGGCAGCCGGCCTCTTTCCCCAGCATGTCAGTTGGCCTGAAAACGTTTGGTTACCAGACATCATAAACACGCATTCTACCGCGCGCTGCTGATGTTTCCTTGATTGGCGACGAAAAGTTTGCAAACTAGTTGCCAAGCTTGATGAAAGGCTTGACAACCACCCGGTCGTATCGTTTCAACGGTTTCCCTTGATCTGCCATCGGATTTCTTCAATCGAATAACGAAGCAGCGCAATTTTCATAGGGAGTTGGATATACAGGAAGTGTTTTTGAACTCAGGTTAGGGAATCCTCCAGATCTTGTGAGCACTTCCTCGTGGACACACTGTTTGTAGTGAAAATAGCTTCAGGAGTATATTCGGGGGACAAGCGTGCAGGCGTCTGTTGAAAGTCGACAGCCGGCCTAAACATTGTGTTATAACAATTAGCACTGGCACCGACAACTTGTTTTTCAAGATATCGGCGTCACTTGTCTCTTCCTTCAATTTTCAGCCTAATAACGCATCTCCCCCGCAATGGACCATGTGAGTATTTCTGGGCCAGCCATCAACTGATTGAAGAGGTGATAATAGATAACATGGTAGAATCCCGTGAACCATACGTTCAATGATGCTTCAATCTTGAAGTGACAACTTCGGGTCGTTTTTTATTAGAACAGGGAATTTCTACTCTGATTTCATTTGTTTACCTCTAGCCACTCGATTTGTGAGTGCGCCGGTGACCAACAAGACCGACCCCGCTGGGGAACGTGCGTTTACATGATCCACGCTGCACTGGGGAACTTTAACTCCTTCCCATTGGTTCATTTGCTTTGCAACATTCAGTTCGCTGTCGTTCGTTTCAAGCAGCCTAACAGGCATTAGACTGCATTCCACACTAACGGTGTTTGCTCTGCAAAGGACTTACGTCTTCGGGGATTCGGCCCGTCTATTTGATTCGAAGGATATTGCTCAGACACTAAGTGAAATCAGTCGAGTACCAGGACGCACCATGGTAGCAGGAATTCATACAGCACAGTTTACAATTTAGCTGAATACCTGCTGTTTTTCGATGAGCCCAGGCGCAAGATGGTAAGAGACAGATGCGTTGGAAATATTTTTAGTGGAACCAAAGCGAGATGCTGCTTTATCAAATGCCATAGCAACCGCTGTAATACCGCTTCCGAATCCTGAAATAAGGCCCCATCTTCCGCAAGCAGCAGCCTTCAGACACTGAACTGGCGCAGCAATGATTTGGCAAGGAAGCGCTTCAAATCGAATATCGGATTGATGCGCAACACTTGAAATGATGGAACTGTGCTGTGCAAGAACACAACCCTGCTTCACTCCTGCGTCGACCTGGAGCTCGCTCGACGTAATTCCGAAGATTCGCAGTTGGGTTATCATCTCAGCTTGAAAGGCAATGGTGAAGCAAACAACTTTATTCAAACAGCAAACTTTTCATGGGACAATGTATGTTACTTCTCTGTTGGCCGAGACGAGGACTTTGGTGGTGTCCTCAAACGGTTCATTGAACGATTGGTTCTGTTCATGGTATTTGGGGGCGAGATGGCTCAGTGGTTTACTAACCGGAAGGTCCGTAGTTCGAACCCGACCTCTGCCTCTCGACTTCCTCTGTCTAGGCTTGGGTAACCTAGCAGTATCCCAGCCCTCGTGCTTCATTCTAGTGGCATGGCAGTTAGGCTCCGAAATCGGTGCTACAGCTGAACGATTTTCTCATGATATTTCTCTTGGTTTTTCACTTTCACTTCGAGCGCTTCTAAATCCACACTAGTCTACAGGTATAAGCAGTATTTTCCCCCAAAGTGGTGCATCTTTCTGTCAAGGATTTTAGGTGACACTTGCATTCAGTGGATTAAAACGGTGAATGATACAGAGAAGTGAATGCAGACGTTTATTTTTCTGTTGCTCAGTATGTCATATTATGATCATGCAGTGTTCGCGCCTCTTTGTGCTTCCTCCGAACGTGTGCTTCCTGTTGGACACGCGAAGAACATTCAGAAACTATATGCTTCAATTTTTCCCACACATCACCTCCTCAACTCCGTGTATTTACCCTTTCAGTACGATGAGTTATGAGGAGCGTCGAGCTGCTGACCGTCAAGCCAAAGAGGCTCAGAAGCAGTATGACGAAATGCGATCATTATGGGCCACGGAGTTGTATCGTCTTTCCATTGCCAATCAGGTATGATGTTCGAGAAGGGTTTTTGTTCGGTTTTTCCAGACGGTTGTCGCTTAAGTCCTAATGACTATCCGCTAGTTTTTCATCGTTTTGCTCGCTATTGGCTGTGTTTTTCTGACATATCCCTACATGTGTTGTGGTATTTCATGAAAGTCGGCTGTCTCTTAACCAGCCATTGACTAAATCTCAGTGGAGAGTCAAATTATCAGAAGGAGAAGTAGTCATCATGAGCCCCAAGAAGGGCGAAACCGGTCGTGGGCTGTCAGAGTTTTCAGTAACCTTGTGAGTAGTATCCTTTATGAAAAGTAGTCATCATCTTTTTGGTAAATACACTAGCCGACAAGAACGGTTAATTGAAGAGGACTTACTGATTGATTCCTCGTCTGCCTCAAAACCTGGCCAACGTGGTGACCTGTTTACTTGACCTGATGAAGCTTTTGTGTCAAAAGCGAAACGTTGCCCAAATAATAACTACAGATTGTTTACCATACCCTTCTGGAACGAGGAGTCAGACTGTTTAGCTAACTAATCTTCGATCCCGAGAGATAGTCCGATAATTCCTCAGAGGAACGGACGTTGAATTTAAACGCACAGTTTGATCTCACAAAGTTCAACACTTGAGGCCTTTGGTCCGTGACTGACCCCTTCGGATTCCGTGTGACAATATAACGTATGGTCAAAGTGTATATTTCGGAGCCTGGTCATGTCTCTAGCATTGTTTATTTGCACTTCTAGGTAAGCATTCTCTAACATTTGTTTTCAATGAACTGTAGAATATTTGTTTAAAGAATATCGTAATCATCATATTCAGGGGCGATCCTGTTGATTCTCTCGTCAAGACCGAATTTGCGTGCCATTTAGTGTATTGCATCCAATTTGGGTTCAAGAAGAACACAAGGTTGACGGATACTCGGGGACTATGCCTATGTCATGAATCACAAGAGGAGTGAAGGCGCTCGTGAGCCGTCGACGAATTTTTGGCAACCTAATAAGTAGTATGCTTCATGTAGACAGATTATCTTTTTGACGAAATCGATGTAGTTCCCCTAAGGATTGGGGCCATCCACTCTAAGTGACTGACTTGAAATCTCCTGAAATGTCACCCACATAAACTCTTCAAAGTAAGAGAAAATCGAATATCGACATGGAAACACGGTTTGGAACTTGACGGTCTTCCAGGTAAAGCATTATAATGTCTGGCAGAATGATAGAAGCAATTTTTCGTATATTACTTTCCCACGTTTTACTCAGAGACGATCACTTCAGGCTTAGGCCTTTATGTAACCCATCTAGAAAAGGTTAGTGTATTTTTGTTGCATTTTTTGTTTCCGTCGCTGCTCATTATTTACATGCCTCTGTTATGCTACAGTATCGTGGACGTGTGTTCTGGTTTCCCCACAGTATGGACTTTCGTGGTCGCGTTTATCCCTGTCCGCCACACTTTCATCATATGGGTATGTTGGTTCGTTCGGTGCTTTCTAATGTGACCATATTTCTGAGTTCTTAGTTCTGATACGTGAACTACCGAAGTGGTCAAACGATCGATCTCTCATCATCAGTAGGCGCACTGTATTGCACACCACCCATCCATATCCCTCTCCATTGCTACTCTTTGTATTCCAGGAAGTGATGTTTCTCGAGGCTTGATCGTTTTCGCAAAAGGACTGCCGCTCGGTGAACATGGACTCGACTGGCTGAAAATTCACCTGGTGAATCTGACCGGGTTGAAAAAACGGTAAGTGTTTGAGTAATACTCAGGTGTTTATTCAGCTGTGATCGTAGTGCGCCCTTACTACAGTGTAGTCATGTGCTTGAAGTTATGGAATACACGTTCTCATCACAAAGGGCAATACAAACCGTACATCACACTGCTTCACCGTCGGTGTACAATCACTAAGTCCGTAACCAAGATCGTTTGGAACTGATTTTGCGTTGACCTATTTTCACACTGGGTATAAACGTTGAAAAGCTCACTCAGCTAAACGCATGGCTCTTTTGCCCATGCTTTGTTACTGCCAGCCTGTAACTGGTTGCGTTGCCCTCGTGTTTGGCCTGAAGACTGTTTGACTGGCTTACTCAAATCATACTGACCTCAACACCAAACGCGGTTCTCGATTGTCTACCTTGTGTGTATCAGTTACGTGATCCCATTCGGGTGACAATTGCAGCATGCTCTTGCTTCCGGTTAATCTACGACACATACACCATCTAATCTGAAAAATGACGAGTGAAGTCGTCCTTGCATCATGCAACATATTCACTGGGTTCTTTGGTAACTGATCAGGTGACTCGGATTCTGCGCATAGTGTTGCACGCACTCGAAAAGTTCCATCCCTCATGACAACTTAGTTTAACCCCAAAGAACGATGAAATCGCTATCGGAGAAGTTCCTACGTGTAAATTAACCGCCTTCAAAATAATCCCAGGACAGGTAATGTGACCTGGATGGCTCTTAAAATGAAAGAATTACATCGTGGAGCCGCATCATGTATTCAGACATCCCAATTTTGATCGCTTGGGTTTTAAATGGTGACTGAACGAACTTTTGTCTCGTAGCTGTTTGTTTATCATAATTATCCACATTCATCTGTACTGTTGTCAACCAGTTCGTTCACACTTTTTTGACACTATCAGCTGTTCGAACAGGGATCGCTTGGAGTTTGCAGAACAACTCTTGGATGATGTTTTGGATTCGGCTCGCAATCCATTCAACGTAAGTTCGCCCTTCCGTTTTTAAGGTTACTGATAACACCACTTATCGAATTAGCACCGAGAGCACTGGATTTGATGAACGCTTTTTTACTGTTCAACTCGCGCTGAATATCTTTTCTGATCTCTTCGCAGGGTCGGCGTTGGTGGCAGGAGCAAGAAGAACCGTGGCAAGTGCTGGCATGTTGCAAAGAGCTAATGGCTGCAATAGAACATCCTTCCGGGCCTCATAACTATATTTCACACTTCCCGGTTCATCAGGATGGTTCTTGCAATGGCCTACAACACTACGCTGCACTGGGTCGCGATTGCCGTGGTGCGGAATCTGTGAATTTGACTGCTAGAGATCAGCCCCAAGATGTCTATAGTGATGTTGCGGAGGTGGTGAGTACTTTGGTCCCGTCTAATTGTTCTACCTCACTTACCGACAGAAGCTGTTCGGTGCGAACGCTTGCTAGCTGCTAAACGGAAAGTCAGAATCAAATGAATTTCCGCGGCTGTAGCTTAATGATTCCCGCATAAATCTTTCCAACGGTTATTGTGTAGATAGAACTAACATAAGCTTGGTATACGACACTGGACGCAAATATTGTTGGCTGTGTTCTTTGGGTGTATTTTATCCAAGTCTTCAGAGTCAACTGCGATGATTTCAGACGTTAAAGAACCACCAGGATCTATTAGTGCACAGGTGTTGATAACCATAATACAGATCAGAAGGTGTATGCACTAATACAAGTTTTTGCTGTGGTTGACAGTAGTTTACAGAAGCGATTCGCAGCATGTGTAAAATAAAGGCAATATAAAATGTAAAGCAAGTCAAAAGGGAGCTTATCGTATGTGAGAGTCCCTTGGTGAAAGTCCGGACGGCGGGACCGTGTTTCCTCCGCAGTTTGGCTGCTACCGTATTCCATAATTGTCCGTGGACTTCGAATGTTTGGTTGACCCATTGCTCCCTGCGCGCGCGCGAGTCTGTGTGAGCTGACTGTGTTCGGTTTCCCCATATGTAGGTCCGTTTGCGTGTACGCGGGTGTCAGCACATGAGTTGTTGCTAAGCTCACTAGACGGTACAGACAATCGATGTCCCATGAGTCAGCTTAATGTGACGTGTTTGTATGAGAAAAAAAAAGACAAGGCGCGTGATCCACTGAGCGGCTGTGAGCTGAACAGTCAAGTATGTGGGTGACGGTAGCTACAGATCTCGTGCCAAGTTAATGTATGTTGAGCAGTTAAACCCTACATCAGGCTGCATAAGGGTTAAGAGTTTAAATCGCTCGTGTAAAAATGATGCCTGCAATGCCTCAGCTGCAACGGTTTTGATTTAGGTGTTAAACAGCCAATCTACTGTAGACTCGAGCGGAAATGAGCTTTTCCAGCCAGGAATTCCCCTAGCTTCTGAAAAAGAGTCTCGCATCAAAATATGGGACAATGTATACAACACGTTTCTACCTATTGAGCTTCTCGTTCTTTTTTGCAGCAACTGCGCGTGCTGCAGTGCGCATTTGGCCAAACTTCCTATTCTACAACGTGAATCGTAAGCATTTGCTTATAATTCCGCGCCCACCACCATCCTGAGGGGGTCATTAAGACGTGCAAAACTGCAGTGATACACATAATCAAGAAGTCACCAGTAACAAAGGTGCCTTGCAAAGCTGGAAAACTGGTCAGTTTGGTTGTTCGCATAAGGAGTAAAAAATTACCTGGAGTATATTCCGGCCCCTCCGAAATGAGTTTTGAGGATATCGTACGAATAGCTTCTTCCCATACGGGAGTCATTACTTGATCCAATATGGCGTCAACAACCTAATATGACGTGTATCATTGATCCTCATTTCAGTTTCATCCCGAGAGTTCTCATTTGGATGTGTTTTGCATCCGTATACTTTGGAACACATGTTTTAAAAGTGCGAACTAGGTTAAGAAGACTTCAAGGTTCGCAGGTGAACACCTGGCGTTGATGAAAAAAGCTAAAATAGCTTGAATCAGAATGTGGTTTTGTTTTATGTCGCACCTGGCATCTTTTGTTCCGGCTAGTTCTAGTGAGGATCAACTCATGAGACCTTACCCTCGTTCTCTCAACTCAGATAGTGGTCTTTGCAAAATTTAAACCGGATCACTGGAATCAGATGGTGATGAGGCTTGTGGTGAACCGGTTTTATTTTGTTCTCAAATACCATACATTGAGTAACTTGTGCGAGTTTTCCTGTGTCACCTCGAATCTCAGAAAAGCCTCAGATTGGAAAACGTGAATCTTTTTCCGTGCCGTTCAACATATATCGTCATTTTCCTTATATGTGGGTTCTTGTCCCGGTGTTAACGATTACGGATTTTACCTTTAGGTGGAAGCTCAAAGACAAGCTGATGCTGCCGCTGGAATTCCCGTTGCCAAAGTCCTCGAGGGCTTTGTCCGTCGCAAAGTTATCAAACAGTCTGTCATGACTACAGTCTATGGAGTGACACTGTACGGTGCATCCGAGCAAATTCGCCGGCAACTACGTGACCTGGAGGACTTTCCTGGTCGTGAATGGATCGGTCCTGCTGGGACATATCTTGCCCGCTTGACTTTGGCCAGTATTGGGGCTATTTTCACCTCATCTACAGAAATACAAGCCTGGTTTGGTCAGGTTAGTAACTTTTTTGCATGATGCCGTAGAGCATTGTCCCAAGGTTTTCGGTAACCTTGTGCGTAACGTGTTCCATCTAGACACTTGTGTTTACTTCTCTTACAGTACCCTTCAGGTGCGATTGGCTGTCTAAGCGGCCGGATTTTGAAGAACTCAACTTTCGAATCTTTTGTTTGGTTTTTTCGTTACCTCTGGGAACCTCCTCCTCTTGCTTATCCAGTTTGTATGCCAACACTTGCATGGTCCGGTGGACAGTAAAAGATTAACTTCCATTTCGGTTATTCCGCTTATTGGTCACAGTACTAGTCTGTCGTTTCCATTCTTGTCACTAACAGTGGATGGGATATTTTGTTGAAATATTGGTAGCTCGGGTGAGCTTATTGGTTGTTGATCAGGTGGCTGTTGGTCTGTTCGCCGAGCTTGGCAATCGAATTGCAAATGTCCCGTCACCATACGAGGAGACAGCATCAACTGCACATTGATGATGTCTCCTAGTATGGTGGCGAAACGTTTACAAGTCAGTTGCGAAGCCCGGCGAACAGATCAACAGCCATCTGATCAACAACCAATGGATGGAATATCATAACGTACTCAAATGCAAGATTACTGCATGACACGTGGTGTGTATCAGAAAATCCTAGTGCCTACATCTCAAAACCGACCGAAGTCCTACTCCTCTTCAAGGTCCACACGCTCAGTGCGCATAATCGTACATTTTCAGATCTCGTCTGTACAGCTTTGGTGAGTGTGGGCAGACGGGACAAGCAAGTAGTTAAATCGTCCATTCGAAAAAACCGCGATACTCTGTAGCTATCCATAGTTGGTGGTACCTCCGTCAAGTACCGCGGAAGGACTTCTGACCTTTAAATGGACACATAAATGCTTGATATTCTGTTTGTTTACTTTGCACAGCCATTTTTCATTTCAATTTGTTGCAGTCAACGCCGGCACATTTTTCGAAAACCACTAAAGCATATTGACACCTATTTGTTAAAATACGCCTTCTTGTGCTAAGTACTTTCGGGCCCTACTGTTTATGTACTGTTCGTTTTTCATAAGGTTTCGCACCTATCTTTGACTAGTGCTTAAGTTTTTGGCCATAAAGCCAGCTGGCGAACCCTTGGTTTTTGGAACGCTCGGTTCTTTCGCTATGGAGGGGAAAAGTTTCGGTTTCATCTGAGCCATACCAATCCGTGGGCCAGCTTCAGAAGTGAGAGTTATAGCGCACTCGGTCGTGTTGTGTGGGATCGCGGGAGTAGGGGCAGATGACGAGCATATGCAATTTCAGTGATATATGACTAATGACAATCTTCACAGCAAACGCATGACGCCGTAAAATCATGGAGACACGATCTATTTCAATGAGCAGTTAGCACTGCATTGTACAGGTCACTCGGCACACCATGGAATTCATGCAAAGACTGAAAAGCTTAACGGCCAAAGAGTGACTGCCCCACCAGTCCAATTACCCGTTCTTTTTTTAAGTGGAATTTGATACTTGCGCATTCAATATGTTTAATCAGAGCAAGCAGTTTGTGCTCTTCTTGGAAGCGCTCATCTCGGTAGTACCCTATCTCTTATAATGCAAGAAGACTCAGGCACCGATGGATTTCGCTGTCACTATATCAACTTGAACTTCAGGCACTCTTATTTAGTCTGTTTTTACTTTTCAAACACCACAGATCGCCCATCATATCTCGCGACACTTAGGTAGCCGTGTGAGCTGGGAAACTCCATTGGGTCTTCCAGTTACCCAACCTTACATGACCCTCCCCAGTGCACTGACAGCGGATCGTTTCTCGGAGTTCACACCTTCGTCTCCATTCAGTCCACCATCTCCAACTCTCCTGGGGGCATCAGCTATGGAGGTGGCCAGCCGTGTAAGGCATAACTACGCTAACTACAAGGAATTACCCGTGCCGAACCCTGTGAAACAACAGAATGCCTTCCCACCGAATTTCATACACTCCCTGGACTCGTGTCACATGATGCTAACTGCACTACATTGTTTTCGGGAAGGAATTACATTCGCCTCGGTGCATGATTGCTTTTGGACACATGCTGCAACGGTGAATGAGATGAACCGCGTAAGCTGAACTTGCGGTTAAAGCTTTGTTTATTTAGTTTGTTTTTTAGTTTAGTTTGTTTATTAGTTTAGTTTGTTTATTATAACCTGGTGATAATTTGAGGGTGTGCTAAAACTTCGCTATCGTTTTCTTAAACACTGAAGAACTTTTGTTGGGCTTGACAGTTTTCTTGCCACGAAAACACTTATTGTTAAAATTCTCTCTCGAACAAACATCCCAAACCGGATCAGGTGCACTTTCTAGTTTCAAAGTAGTTAATTCCCACACCTCTCTCAACACATTTGCTTAATCCATAGCAGTGTGGAACCTATTTTAAAGTTGTGAAATGTATTGTGTGTACTCAGTCTGAAGCGTGGAAGGAAACTATGTCAACATCGATTAGACTTTTGCTAATTCAATGCACCTTTCACACACGGTGATTCTACCATATGGTTCACATGTCTGAGCACTATATTGGACCGGTTGACAGAATTTGATAACCCTCATGCACGCCCATGATTTTACTGTCCGAATACATTTATTTCAGTCATAGGTTTGCAGACGCATCCACTCTGATCCAAGTGAAAATTTTCTGTACACACAGCTGGGGTGAATGTGGCACAGTTGGTCAGGTGACGGTTTGGTCAATAGTGTGAGTAACATCGTGTAGGATTCAGTCAGAGCGAAACGCGTAGTGAATAACGTTTTTCCTGGCTAATCGTGTCCAGCGTGTGGCTAGAATAATGGTTGGCAGTTGTTGTTGTGTCGTGATCCAGTCGCGCTATCACTAACTTCCTTTTCTGCATCGGTTTAGATTTGTCGGGAGGAATTTATTGCCCTACACAGTGAACCCATTTTGACGAATTTCGCTGACTATTTACGGTCCAAATTCGCGTACACGAAGGAGTAAGTCCCATTCTTATAGTATCTCTTCCTAAATTGCAGGATGTTTTTGGCTTTCTCGGGCAACGGAACTGCAGATGCACACACAACAGTTTTCCGATCCACGTAAAACCGCTTTTTTCCATCCCTATACTTTCGTCTCAGCACAGTTTGGAGAGCAATCGGTAGATTTACTGCTCTCCTAGAAAGATTACAACTCAGCCAGTTCCAGTCGTTGTCTAGTTGCTTTCCTCGACCTCCTAATTGTGCAAAGTGCGGTTCGTGCAGAATGCATGCATTCATATCAAGGGAAAATCGCTCTACACCCCCCCCTAGATTGCATTTCTGTCAGACCTTTGCACAGGACGACAAAATCATCATTATAACCAAGTCCGTGATCCACTTTGTGGGGCTTATTGCTTCTCCAAGGAGGCCACTTAGAGCATGTGACATAGTCTAATCAATCGCGGCAATGAGCAACATCGGCGAAAGTGGGCAGCCTTGTCGAACACCGTGGTCTCTTCCCTATATAGCTGGATGCGGACTTTCATAGCTGGTGAGATTCTGCAGCTTATCTGGCAGGCCATCAGTTTTCAAAATAGACCAAGGGCATTCCCTACTGAATGAGTCAAATGCTGCACGGAGGTTAATGAAGCAAGTGTGTGTGGCAAATGTGCAATAACCTTAGAAAGTGAACCGTATTCAGGCCATGCATGCCAATTTTGTTATATACTGTACCTTAATCAGATGGGAATACCGATATCTTGGAACGTACAGCATAGGTCAAATATCCTATGGGGTTTGTCACGAAGATCCAAAGCAGCGAACCCAATAAAACTGCACACAGTGCCTACTCGCGGTGCACTACGTTTTCTAAGGCTGCTAATTCCATTCAACCTTATACAGACACTCGTTTAAGTCTGAACGACTGTTCCATGAGCGACCGTCCGGCCGAACCTTGAGTGTGCGCGCACCATAAGTTAATAGCGATTTTAGTGCTCCAAACCGGCGGGCTCCTTCCAGGATTGTTCACTGTTATCAGTGAAATTAGTTCACCCAGATGCCTTTTTCTCCTAAGTGCACTGTAACAGTTGGTTTATCACTGTTCCTAAATAATGGTTTATCTGTTCTGCTGTATGGCTAGGGAAATCTCAGAAATGAACTCAGAACTGAAACGGGCTAAAGCTTCAGCGTTCAACGAAATTCTCGCACGGGTTCCTAAACCAGGTAAGTCCGATTTTCTGTATATTTTGGTTAGCTCAGCTTGAATCGGACGTTTCACTCCTAGGATAAACTGCGCACGGTCAGTGGATTGTATTTCCTTTTGCCAGTTAGCGTTCAGTGTTTATTGGAAAGCCATTGATAGCGTTGAAGGTGTTTGGATCTCCTCAGCGGTGTTTTTGCTAGGCTTCTGATGCCTTTGTTGGTACTTTCACACTCCGTTTACAGGAAGCAGTCTCTTATCGTCGCTTTCTCACTGTCGCAGAAGAATCAACCCGATTTGGGCGGAAATATTCTTGAGAAAGGGTATGCCTGGTTGTTATCATTCACTTACCGACCCCTGTGTGCGAAATTCGAGGTGCATCGTCAGTTGCAAACCAACAGTTAGTGATGTCAATCCAGCAACACTGCAACGAACTCGAAAATTGCGGTATCCCATATTACCTACCGTATTTCCGTTTGTTAGGTTTCCACGATGTTCCAGCGGGTCATTTGGTTAGAAATTGACCAGGATCATACTCTCACGCCGTACGCTATTGAGAAATCCAGCTACTTCATGTGAATTCACTTGTGAACCTCGAGAACAGAGAAATTTTTACGACCCGACTGCAGACCCGCCTCGATTAAAGGCTTGTGCAAGAACGACCTTGCACCTTCTTTATTCGAAAACGATAGTGAGATTGCCGTTCTAAGGACCTGTCACGTTGGTCTGTTCTATACTAATAAGCTGTAAACCGACCCACCCCTTGTTCTCCGGTTTCTGTTTATCCTGTGACTAGAAACCGACTGGTTGAATCTTCCTTGTCAGTTTGAATCAAGCATTTTTATCACCAAACTATATAATAACGATGTTTTTTCACGGATTGGGAGATATTCAACATCTGAGTGGTGTGCTGACAGACGAAAGACAAGTGCGCGCATTCATGTGCGTCGAGTTTACGGTAAAAGTATTTGCCTACACGTACTCACCTTTGCCTCCGATGTTGTGGTTGTTTTTTACTTGAAAATTGGGCAATACGACCAACATTGGATTGATGCACTGTTTCGAGAAAAACCGACATGGCGGATCGAGGGTTACACATGGGGCAATACTCCTAGTGCATCCCCACAATAATACTTTCATATATATTTAGAAAACTTTTTTAATCCGCTTGAAGATGACTCGCACTTGTCTCGCGCCCTAAGTCCATTTTTTGCCGTTTCTATGCTATTTCAATCTAAGTTCTATTTTCAATAGACGTGAGCTCTGTTGACCATGATTTGTCCTCCCCCCCCCCCTTTGTCAGGTAAATTTGATCTGAACGAAGTCCGAAACTCTACCTACTTCTTCAGCTGAATTTAGCTTGCGCAGAAAAAGCTTTCCTTCAACGTGCATTTCTTGCCCATCCCCTCAACTGCGCGCAGCCGTACTTTTGCGCCGTCATTATTCACCAGGTTCTTTCAAGCCAAGTAGTGCCGGCTATTTTTTGAAATAACGCTTTTACGTACTTCCTAATCCAATGTGATTCAGGTTGAATTTTTTAGAATATTGTCCTCTTTCGCTTCCCGTCTTCTCTCTGTCGTGAAAATGACTTGCATCACTTCCTAGAGCCCATGCGTCGTTTGTTGTAAGCCACCAAACAGATATCCGGAAGGAGGGTCTTATCTCTCAGTGAATGGGTCCTCCTCCTTTATAGGTTGTAGATGAAAACTAAGGGAAAGCCATTGGGCACACTTGGTTCTCGACAGACCATATATCAGTGTTCCACGTTAATCCTTCTTCTGAAACGGAAACGTTCGAAGGGATCCACATTGATAGTGTCGGAATTTCGGTAGTCCTAGTGCTTATATCAGTTGTGACACTACATATAAGGTCAATAAAAGCTCGGTTGATTTGTTCGTCGAGCTTGTTAATGGCTTGAAAACGCGTGCACTAACGATGCTCTGTCGATTTGTGAAGAGGCGTTAGTGAGCCGGTCCCCGCACCTGGTGAACAGATCAACAGCTAGTGAGGGACACATCTGGTCACCTAAGGAATTAAGAGTACACAACAATGAATTTCTTCCCATATATGTGAGATTCAAACGAGTGTAGTTTTCGCGGAACACATTCAACTGACTGGCTTTCCTTAAAAAAAGCCCTAATTTAATATTAATCTGCCAATGGGACATAGCGAGGCTGAGATGGCGAAATTTTACGACACCATTTTAAGAGACAATCTGCATTTTCACCACGCTATTTGATATCCCGATTGGATTAGCTATGTGAAGTGTCGGTACAGTTTTGTCCTTGTAAGCGCAATACATGTGACGACATCTATCTGTGATACTTCTTCCACTGACAGGCTAAATAACCTGCTCCTTGCTGTGGACTAGGAGTAGCACGAAAGGCACAAACTCCCATACTACTTAATATCTGCCTCCCTTGATTTCAGGAAACAACTGCTTGTTGCTAAAAGGCAATGAAACCAAAATGCCAAGGCTTTTCCGCTCCCTTAAAAAGCATTATATTTTACACATTGATCCACTAACTGGATTCGAGAGTTTCGAACGAAAGGACTGGTACCCAGTGCTATGTGTTGCTAATAATTTTAACATCTTGCATCCAGGCTCTCCCACGCTTTTCAGACGAGTGATAACTGTGAATAAGAGTTCCTGTCGATACTCTATGGTGGCAAATAGTAATAGTATTAAAGTTATAAATCCTCATTTTATCTTTCAAGGCAAATCAAACTAGGCTGGAAATCCAGGAATGATTGCACAGTCAATCTGTAGTTGATTAGCTTGTGTACTATGCCCTTCACTCGGTTTGAAATTAGTTATCCCAGAGAAGCATCTATGGGGACACATGAATCCAGCATTTCGATGTGTATAGGAATCAAACTGACTTTCTGATTATTAGTTTTCAGAGTAGTTCTAGCCAACTCTTCCTAACCTGAAACACGTGTTAGTAAATGTACGAGACCCTGTTGTATTCTCACGATGGAGCACCTCAGTGCTGAGCACTAAGGCAATAAGTCAAAGCAGTTTTCCTCGTAATGACCGTTTTTCTTTCCACTGAGATACGTGGAGAATCCGTTATAAGGACCACTTTCAGACAAAAACGCTCCCAGTAGAACAGAGTAAATAGCTTATCAGTTCACTCTGATGGTTGTTCCCTGCGGAGCTACAATTTTTCTAGCCCGTACAGGTGGTATAGATTTATATTTTCAGGATAGAAATCAGTTAAGCCTGTCGCCCGTATCCACTACACATCATCCAACCGTCCGTAAAACTGAAGGATCCGATGTGTCTGACTGCTAGTTTCACTTATGCAGGAAATCCTTGTATAGAAGTATACCACGACGGCTTACCTAGTGGTCTGTATTGCGACGATGGAACCGACCGCCAGTGGAAATCCTTCGGTAAATATACACATCGGAACAAAACTTCCGTGCATTACGGTGAGTTAAATAACCATCGGAAATATGGTGCATATACCAGTACTAGGTTTGACTGTGCGAAGTTAAAGGCAAGGAATTCACTAATGCCTGTTAAGGACTAATGGGGTAGGGAAAAACGAAGATGCATAGCAGTGGCGTCAGATAGTCGGATTTCAGAGGTTTGCGCATATCGATAAACCCAGAGGTGATTAAGAAAATCGGGAGTGCTAAAGTGTGTAAACAGATGGAGCTGCTGCCTTCCAGTGAACTGACACCACAGCTGTGTGCCAGTAGGCAGTCTGGAAATGTTTTTCTTGATAGTATGAGGAGTTTGGCGAATTTTTGAACGAATGTCCCGTCATGTAAGTGAACTCAGATTATGCCGAAAGCAATGTAGTATAGCAATAGCAAAGCATAAATAGCTCAGAAGGAGGAATAATTCAGGCAAGAGTTAGCCATCCATCTGAGAATTCGTCATTTGATGTGCCAGTGAGCTTTGAGCCTCATGACCAACGGTTGAGTGACGGCATGTCCACTCTAATTGCCAGGCAGCCGCACGTTGCTGGATGTTTAGGTGTTCAAACCGCTGGCTAGGAGGGTGCATGTTCAAATCATCCTGGAGATCTGAGATGGGCACTGCTGATGATACCCAACAGGAATGGTTTTCCTGTATGGATTGACGTAATTTACAGGGCGACTTCTAGAAATATGCCAATTGCGTTCATTGGCCGCTGATCTGTTCGCTGTGGTCGGAGATTAGGGTGCGCACTGCTAGGTTCTTCCCGCCCACCCACCCTCCAATTTGTGACCAAACTTTTGCTTGATAACTCAAGCTCGGCGAACGGGCCAACAATCATCTGCGTCGACATCGATCACCTCTCAAAATAGTACCAGTTGTTCCAGAAATCTTCAGAAAACGATAGCTTTTTAATAGACTCCAAGCGCTTCCCGGATTATCTGACACAAGCTGTTGCTCATTAGCAGCGATGGAAACTGGGTTACTCCGGTCTTAAGAGTACGCTGAGTGTTCTAGATCATAATGAGGAGTTTCAGAGAAATGTACAACTTGGGACAATGGTGAAGTTTTCCGAATCCGCTGTCCTGTCGGTTTACTGATTAGTAATCGAGGCCTAAGCACGTGGATAATCTGTGAAAAGCTGAGGCTAATCGTGGATGGTCTCATTCATTTGTAGAAAACGCGAAAACATAGATGAAAGTGATTAGGCGGTTTGCCCCCTCCTAATTGGACAGAAATTTAGCATAACGCAATAAGCCTGGTCAACCTCATCGAAACCGGTTGAACGGTTTAGGACGGATATGGAAAGTGTCCTGTCTATGAGAGGGTCGGCTATTTTTCACTTTTCGAGTCAGTTCATTTCCTGCTGGCTTAGTGAAAACGGATCTATCGCTTGTAGGAGTGGAATATTTCGAATCTTATTTGTCAGTGGCAGTACTTCCCGAAAAATGCTCTTCGTGAAGAAAATCATGTAATCACCATGCAAAAATATCATTCTAAAAAATCAACATTCTGATTCCTCGGGCGCAGAAACTAGCCAACCGAGTCGATCACCGCGTGTTCAACATCCGGTGCCTTCGGACTAATGCGATCCCACGGTCTTTTGTGATTCAATCGCTTGACAATAGCTACCGATCCCGGGTCGCAGAGCGAACAGTCTCGCACTTTTTGTGTATTCATTCCTGACTGTTCTACACAATGAATCCTTTGATGTAATAATCTGGATATGTGTAACGGGAGCTATACGCCCCAAACATAAAGGCTTTCCTGCTAATTCACGTGAACGCCAAGACAGGAGGTTGAAGGGATGGCTCAGAACATCATGTCAGGCATTATCCAGTCGCCATTCAGCAGTCCGGGTTGCATGGATAATATCACTGTCAACATTTCCTCAAAGAATTTGGATGAACCAGAGATTCAAATGCTAGGACTAAGCCTCAATATCCAGCTAAAGTCAACCATACCCAAGGCCATTATTCCAGAAACCAAACCAGTTATCCGCCATTTGACCCCTGACGCTGTAAGGCGAGCTAGATTCAAGACTTCCAGCATAGTACAGCCACAATAATCTATTGCAGTCACTACGCTGCTGTCTCAAAAAAAGAAACCTATTCGCATTTGAATGGCAGATTATTAGAATGTCGGATGATAAGTGCTCTCGTCGGAACACACTTGGTTTTGACAGGAGGTTCAACTGAAGCGAACCCTCATAAACAGGAGGTTAAGCTGGAATCAGTTGAGTTCTTTGTCAAAAGCAAATTTATGCACAAACTAGAGTATTTGTTAAATTCTGTCTAACGTGCGGTTGATGCAAATTCGGAGACCGCGCCTATCTGATGAGTAGTAACCGATTGTGGCCATTGAGGAGTCTTCAGCAACATTATAAGTCGTGTGCTACGTTTACAGAATATCACTCCTTGACAAAAACGGATTATGAAAATAAGTTCCTTGAACATTTCGTGGATGGGCCACATTAACTCATAGCAAAACTTAACTCAAAAGATGCGCTTAACAATGTCGGGTCTTGCGTGAATCAATACATACGATCAACCAATGGGAATCATGGTCGTTCTGCTCGGCCCTTAAATCGTAATAGCAACCGAGCATCGAGATTCTAACCTGCCAGAAACTCACAGGGAAAGGACCTCAATGAGAACGGTCATGGGATGTACTGTCTCATGGATTCGCAGACTATCGAAATTCCTTATTCGAATTTTCCAGCCGCTCCAGAGCGACCTGGAATGATCATTCGATTTTGTTAACCAACTTGAACGAAACGCGTTACGCACAATGGATATCTTTCTGTTTTTTTGTCATCAATGCACACGAAAGTTGTGAACTTTTGTCGGATCTGTTGGAAAATGACGCATCCTTAGCCACCCTCACTAACGAGTTACCAACCAAAATACTGTCAGGGATCAGGCTTTGTTCAGGCTCGACTCATTTCCCATTCAGAGAAATGGAGTAGCCATAGGTTCCCCGATCGCACCAAATGTAGCCAATATTCCTCATCGCGTGACGGCAAGGTCAGTGTTGACAAAGACGATTCACTGCTGCACAACCACTACACACAACCCAGAAGCTGAGAAACTGTTTGTCATCGAAAACAGTCCTGGATCAGTAGCCTGGAGAATCCCGTTCTTGACGGATATTCGGTACTAGATATTCGTGCTATCCTCCATACCATAATAGCGGTATAGCCCATCATAATGTTAAAATGGTAATACTAGTGGCTGCTAGGCTACTTGGATATGAGACATAAAAAACTGAGTCACAACTAGTAAGTATTCAGCAGTAACATTTACACCCAATTTTCGCTCCCCACTTCAGTCAGGCATGTTCACTTCTTGCTTGTAACTCATGGCAACTGGTCCAAGTGCCAGTTGATGACCCTGGAAGCCTCGTCGTTCTGAGAATGATCATTAGCATTTCGCGCATATTTCCATCAGAACGACTAATCCGTTTGGTGATTTGATGAAAACGTTTTACCTATTGGTTCACACCTTTATCCGTGATTATTTGTCCTGTGTCCGGTTACACCAATCCCAACTTCCTACTTTCTAACGGTTGGTTCACCTCGGGCAACCTTTAGTGACCGAGTGGGAACAGTGTCATTCGCTCCTAGTGAACGAGCCAATTCGTGGCTCCATTACATTATGCATCGTAAAATAGAATCCACCGACGATACCCAGCGATTTGGCACCATCTCCTTCCGAATTTGGGGTGTTAAAAATTATATGCATGACTGACAGTCCATTTTGACGAGAAATCAATGCGGCCGTTTAAATCCATGGACACCTTCACATTGTTATCGCCACTGCCAACGATAACTTCAGCTCTCCTGACTATGGCATCCACGTAAGATCCAAGCAAAAGTACTATCTTCCTTTCTTGCACAGGACCGCTTGTATCTACTTCTTATTGAGATTATTGGTAGCCCAAATGTTGTCAAAGAATCGACAACGATCCCCGCCTTAACGATCTTGTCTCCTACCAGTCCATCAAAACCAGAAGTAAATGGGAAACAACGGTGTCTATGTCGACGATCTGATGTCTTTTCTTTTTCAAACCGTTCTGTCAAAGGAGAAAGCGTTTTAAAGGACGATGATGAGCGGTAACGAAACGTTGCTGCTGCCAACTATGGCTGGATTAATTCTAACGTGAGACTCTGCACACTTCGTAAGCGCACCAAAACTGTCCATTCATAACCATCCTTTTGGGTGGAGTTAAGAAATATTCTATCGTGTTTTAATGTTTCATTTGGGAGACGAACACGCTTTGTCTGTCGATGTTCTTCCCGGAACACCGATTTTATTGCAATACAGGCCAGATTTTTCCATTACACACTTGTATTGCAGTGAGATGTTGACAAGTGGAAGTCTATCACACTGTCTTACCTTGTGGGGTACCTCGTACTGGCGTTGCATCGTCTGAATAACGTTGTTCGACCGTGCGTTGTCCAAGCATTCTTTTGGCTGCACTCCTGGTTTATACTGACACCTTGTGTGACTGGATGGGCAAAAACTAACTGTTCATAGGACCCGTGGGTACAAATACGACCGTGCTCTCCATACACTGTTACCGGATTGGAAAGTGCAGACCCTACGTGGTGTGTTGAAGTGTGATGAGAATTCTGTGCAGTCTGATACATCGTGATTGAATCTTCTCTCGCACATGTTGGATGAGGTAAATAAGAGGCACAAGGTCGTCTCAATTTAGGCGTAGCGGATCCCGAGTATGACGAGGAACTGGTTGAACTTGAAGAGCTCACTGAAGAGGTTTCTGAGGATGAACACGAACTGTCATTTGATTCGCTGTTTTCACTTGAAGAGGAAGACGAGTAAGGTGATCGCTGTCGTCTCGACAAAGACCGTGCGCCACATTTTTCACATGTGTGTTGGACCTTAATTCTATCACAACAACAAGGCTGGTTAGGCGAATAAAAAACCGGATTGATCTGGTTAAAGCAGCAGCATCTTGGTGCACACGCGAAAGGTACACAATGGTGGTGAGGATCACGTGATGCTTTGGAAGACATCGAAATGGTATGGGAAAGTGGAATATAGTGAGAAAACGGATATGGTTCCGTATTGCAGGGCTGTACAAATGGATAGGTGAAAGGTGGTACAGTATCCTCACTACTGTTTTCCTTAATGTTTACAGAAACCGATGGAATCGCCTGTTTAGTAGTCTTCTCCTCGAGTTTTGAACTAGGCATAAAGCTGTATGCATCCACTTCAATCGCCTTATCTTCGCCGTTTGGAGTGACAGTTCCGGCGGTCGATATCGAGAGAGATGGTGGTTGGTCACTGGTACTGACTTCTTGAGAAGCCGTAGCTTCTATTTTTGACGAAGATTCTACTCTTTTTTCGTCTCGTTTAGCCTCCTGGAGTCCGTATTTAGATGACCAGGTTCTTCTCTCCGCCACCGCATGTTCCGTCATGGCTAGTATTGCTTTCAGATCTTCTTGAACCTTGGATTCTAGTCTTTCCCTTCGTCGCTCTTTATAATCCACGGACATCGTCGCTACTTTACATGTCTCCTCTTTTGCGCCGTCTGGGTCTTTGGTGTCAGATCTTTCGTCTAGCTCTTGAAACTTTTGGTCCCCAAAGTTGGATGGGATTTCTCCTGCCGGTGCTTCTCTTTCCTGCTCAGACTTTCTAACGCCCAATTTTTTTAATTCCTCACACCATTTTTTCTCAGCCTCAGTTCGTCTCGCATCGCGCCCGGCTTGGAGTTTTTGTGTCGTGTAACTTGTTGTAGGTACATTATCTGGCTCCGGGAGCGCATAAACCGTGGGTTTTATTTGACCTGCCGAAAGCTGCGCCGCTTTACAGTGGTCCGGAAGTGGAGCCATGAGGAAGTGGAATGTATCTGCTTGTTTACGTCTCTCAATATCGAGCCTTTGTCGATCGTTTTTCTGGGAATTATTTGTACACTTTGAAGATGTCCCATCAGCCAAGTAAGTTGGTCCTAAATCACTTGATTCGGCACAATTGTTATTTGAATCCCCAATACGAGATGGCCATCGATGAACTGTTTTACCAGCCGCATCCGCCGGTGATTTCTTTGAAAAGCCTACATTGTGGTTTTCATAACTGGAACAGCGAAGACCGAAATGCCCTGAACTATTGGCTGATGGATAAATTTGTTGTGTTCCGAACTGCGTCCACTGAATTTGAGTTTCGGGTAGGTTCGACTGCTCCGAAATGCTGGAGCAGATATTTTTATTGGAGCAGTTAGGCCTGGCAGTTGAATCACTTCTCCAGACTCGCTTTGAATTAGCTGTGATAGTACTATTATTCAATACGGGAGATAACTTACGTGTTGTTGTCCGGTTCGAACGATGCTGGTATCTTGTGTTCTCCATACTCGCGTCTCCTGAGCCGCCAACAACGGTGTGTGGTGTTCCGTTATGCGAATTCGTTGGCACTTGGTTTAACGACTTTTTCTTCCTCAAAGAATACGCATCTCCGCTTGCATTTCCGTTATGTGACTTCCTGCAAACAGACCTTCCGCTGTAGTTAAGTCGCGATCCGGGATTCACTGTCAGTCTTTCTTTAACTGGCTGCTCCTTTGACAAATTTGAAATAGTCTCTTTGGCGTGGTTTGGGTTCACGAAATTTCTAGGAATCAAGATTTCCGTAGCTTTCGGTGCATCTGGTGATTTGATACCGCCAGTACCGAATTCGGTGGACCTTGAGCCGGTTGGCGCAGTAGCTGCTAATTTATGTCCCACTCTGGATTGTGTTGCGCTTTCTGAGTCGACATAAGCAATACGATAATACCGCTGCAGTCCCTGTGGTGGTTCATTGATACTTTTGGAATTCGGACCTTCAATCATGGTGGGCAAGGTGGGTGGTGAAGAACATCGACTCGATGGACTCGAGCTGACTAAGTCGGTGGGATTAATATCAAACACAGATTCTTCTACTTCACTAATTGGTTTGCTGGGTTGGGCTTTTTGGTTAACATCTTGCTCATTAGGGGTGAATTTTCTGGGTGACTTTATTTTTTTCAGTAGTTTCGATGTACTGCTCTGTCTGCCGATCTGAGACACCGGTCTAGGTAGATCCTCATTTGTTGGGCTGGAGACATCTGACGACTGTCGTGGGGCAGCATCGAAAATCAGCATATCATCTTCGTGTTTTGCTACCGAACACGCTCTCCTAGACGCATCGGGTTCTTCTGCCAGCCTAAAAACTTTACCTGGTGTGGGTAGATTTGTCGAAGATGACCTTCTCATGAAATTCGGATGCTTCTCTTGTCTCTCACCCGAGGAAGTAGCATTAATCTGGTCGCAGCGTGCAACGGACCTACTTCGAACCTGTATTCCTGAATAATTTTTCGTACGGACACCCAAATGCTGATCACTAGATGGCTTTCTCGCACCAAACTGCGGTCGTGTGATAGAACTTGGATGTCGAGTAATTGGAGTGATTTTACTGGGAAGATCTTGGACAACCTTGTTCAATTCTTGCACCATTGTGTTTTGCTCAGCCAGTGTGGTTGACATTAACTCGATTTTTTTGGCTAGTGCTGTCAGCGACTCGTGAATTTGACAGAATTCTTCTTTCGCATTTTTGGCACCAGTTAGTTGCTGTCTGCTCAAAGTAACCAGACGTGTTTTGATTGCATTAATTTGTTTTTGGTTAGAGTAAAACCGAGCCCGTATTACATTGTGATCTCTTTTGTTGTCGGCGGGTACACGAACCCGACTGAAAGTTTCTAGTGTATCTCTAACAGTGTTATCTGTTTCGTCCGTTTTGTTTTGGTTGGAATCGCAATCCGTGTCTGTGGTCTGACTGAGCGATCCCGGCGGCCATTCTTTCTGTGAAATGGGCTCAGTAGAAGATTGTGAAACTTCAACTGGATTCCTTTCCCTAGTTGTTTCACCCGTTATACACCGAATGATTCTCTGAATAAGACCACTTTGTCTAGTTTTCGTGGATCTACAGCGTACCTCATTACTTCCTCGAAAATCGTGCTGCTTCAGAATTTTCCGCAGAGGATCCCTATTATAAGTATCCACATCTCCTCTATAACGATACAATCCGGAATTCACTTCGCGGCGATCACCGCGAAAACCAGAAGAGTCATATACTTTTGGAAGAACCTTTTCACATTTCCCACTGGCAGTTTTTTGTTCATTAGCCCATCTTACGCACGCCCTTGAAGGAATTCTGTCGCCATGTGCATCCCTAGACAATGCTATAGTTTTGGGACTTAATTCCAGTTTATTTCTATCATTGTCTGAGTCTTTCGAGTGGCGAACGTACGAGGAGAAAGTTCCTGTGAAGGCTTTGTCGTCCTCGACCGCAGGACCAATGTATGGAACTGGGGTTTTTTCATTCAACGTGGTGTTGTCAAACAGTCGTAATTGGCCGGCATCTGAAGACTCCTCATTGTTCACTCTATATCCATCCACACACTCATTTACGGTAACCTTGTTACTATTTTCGACACCAGCGTTTCCCTTCTGAGCGGATTCGCTTTTGGGCGAAGTCTGAGCTTCTTTTTCGGTTCGTTCAGCAGCCAAATATTGTGGCTTCGGTATTTGGAGTAGCAAGCTATCAGACGTTGCGATTGGAGGTGCACTTTTTGAGGGACACAAGGGCGGGGCTTGTTGCCTTTGTTCTAATTCCGTATGTGAACGTGCACTTGATTTCGGACGTAGATTGGCCTCAAATGCCTCCGGCCGTCCAGTGTGACCATAAGGACTAGTAGTATAGATTGTTGGTGGCATTCGACCAGGTCTGGACGAAACATAAGTTTTATCGACGTGCGTGTCATGATGTAAGTTTCGACAAGCTAACGTGCGTAATAAAAAAGCACGATTTGGTTGCCCTTGCAGTGAACTGATGCAACGACGATCTGCATGCTTCTGGCTTGACAACTTTCCTTGGGAAGTTACGGTGTAAGTGCACTCTCGTTTGGGATCTTTTTCGATCATCGAGCCACCGCTGACTGTTTTACCTTGATGACGTTCCATTTGAGATAGGGTGAACTAACAAACTAAGGCGTGAGCAGTCTGTAGGAAATACCGGTTTTGTGGAACATGCTCGCCCTAATCGGTTAGGCCTAGATTGTTAGTTCATGCCCGCTGCTGCAAAGTATTGATTATTTAAAAAGACCCCGCTTATGCCGCCACGTGACTTGTAGCGCTGATTTGACTAGCGAATTACGTGTGAGGGTGACTCCTCCGGTCTTTCGCGTTGGAAACCATGGTGAAGCACGTGAGGTCTCACACGACGAGTCCAAACCACTATCTATAGGCGACGATTGACCGTCCATCCAATTACGTCTTGTTTTAAGTCACATTGGCCGAAACAACTCTGTGTAGTGATATGAATCACTCCACTGTCATGTGACCACAAATACGTCACTTCATGCTATACGACCAAATGTGCATTTGGTGGCTAACCGGTCCTGTTGGCTGGTCCGTTGGGCTCAGCTAAAAGCTGGGTAGAATGCACCACTGGAAGGGGCGTTGTTACAACGCACAGTTCCCATAGTTCAAACTGTCAGAAAGCTGTCTATAACGATAGTCTGCTTCTTGGCCCCATCGAAAGTTGTTTCTGTTAGAACAAAGATATGACCAGGTGAAATTAGTAGGATGCTCCCAAAGAGACAAAATACATTACTATCTCTAAAACCATATAATGTATGAGAAGGTTATGCGTAATATATGAACGAGGCCGATAGGAACCGTTTCACTTGTGTGACAGAGAGGTACCATTCACTCTACCGCCTCAAATTATCTTTGTACCTTCGCATTGCCGTTGTTACAACGAATTCATCAACAAACGGAAATAAATCTATACACCAAAGTTCGAATGACTTCAGCTGATAGGAGAGAAACAGACTGGTGAGAAACCTAACGAGTCGGAAGAAACGTCGGCATCATGGAAACACCAATCAACCGGCCAGATGCTGATTTGAGCTATGTAGTCCACTTCCCCCAATACGCAGTGAAGGTCCACTGGACTTATTTGCCTACAGTCGCAGAAACTGTTGAGGGCCATGAAGCAATTGCAAATTAGGAAAGCAACAAGATTGGACAGTTCATACGCAGAACTGCTCGAGCTGGTAGGACCGACACTGAAGAACGAATTTCACCTGGTATGCAGAATTACGGAGCTGCAGGACGTTCCACGAGATTTCAAGGATACTACGAAAATTCCTCTGGATGAAGGGAAAGGAATTCGAAAGAAAACGAGCAATTACGGCAGAACCAGTCTCAGATGCAAATTAGGCAAGATTATGGCTCCAACCCTAACCAACCGCTAGCCGGTGGCAGTCAAGGGATAAAGTCCCCGAGCAGCAGTGTGGATTTCGAAGTTGTCCACACAGAATTGACTTACTCTTTTCTGCAAGACAAGAAAAATGTTGTGTATAGAACCAAACGCCCCGGGAACCATTTTTGGATTTTACCAAAACCCTCAACTCATTCAACAGACAAGCGCTGTAAAGTCATATGAAACTGGTCAACCTAATCGAGGCCTTCACCCTGTACTGGTCAACCTAATCGAGGCCTTTCACCCTGTGATGAAAGCTCGGGTGAGCGCCTGCAAAACTAGCTCCAACGACCTGTTACTCGATGCCAGAGTGAAGCAGGGTTGTGTTTTTACCCAAGATCCGTACAGTCCTTGTTTAATGCCACTTAAGCGGAGGCGTTCGCCACTGCGAATTCAACACTGGATGAATGCTTACTTGTTCAGTTGGAAGCCTCACGTGGCCAAAACATTGCTGCGCAGGTTCAACCTTACTATGCTCCATTCTATGGACGACTCCGCCATGTTCTCCTATTCTGAAGCAGAGTTGCAGAGGCTGGCTATGGCGCTCGCTTCAGCGGCATTTCGCTGTAACTTAAATAATTCTAAAGCGCTTGTTTTACATCAGCATGCACCGATGATTCAATTCAAAGCACCACATGTACTGCTAAATGGTTGTGATATAGCGGCCTGCAGTGATTTCCGCTATCTTCACAACACGCTGTCAACAAACCTGAAGCTTGACAATGAAATAAACGCACGGATTTGAAAAAACCAGCATGCTATTTGCTCATCTTGAGGGACGCGTCTGGAGCAATCGCCAACTGTGCATAGGCACCAAGACTGCAGTGTATCGGAATGTTGCGCTGTCTTCACTGCTGTGCAGCAGTGAGACCTGGACGCCATAGAGACGGCGCGTTCCCGTTCTTGACCGATTCCATTTGCACTGTTTGTGCAAATTTTTTTCGGAACAACTGGAATGACAGTCCCGAACGCTGAAGTCCTTCTAAAGACAAACGTTGCTGAAATTAAATGCAGTCTGAGATGAAATCAGCTGCGCTGGTTAGACAGCCTGAAATGAATATCCGAAACCCTCATCCCAAAACAACTTGTAACGGTCAAAGGAAGAACAAATTCGAAATCGAAGACACCAGAAATTCCGTTACTGAGACAGCCCTCATTATTTAAGTTGAAAAAACGTTACTTAAATTTTAGGTAATGAAAGAACCTGGCAGTCGACAGAACGGCATTCAGAGCAACTATTGAAGCAGGCATGAGACTGAGACGCAGCACGTCGCAAGGCCGAATCTCCACGATGCAGCCTCGACCGTATGGACTTGCGCAACACACAGACGCGTATGCCTTATCAGGACGGGTCACCAGCTCATCTTCTGGTTCACCTGCTAAACGCTGTTGACCAATCGCAACTCCGTCCCGTTTGGAGCTTTGTCCTTCAGACAAGGTTATAGATAGATCAGATAGACTGAAATTACTTGAAGCAATAGTGCTCAATTCCACTAAGCTTGTATTGTACGCTCAGAAGGACTAGAGATCTAACCCGAGACTACTTAGTTTTGTTGACTGGTCAAGTTATTTTTTTATTTTCATATAGACGCTGTAACCAGTCTTGCAAACTGTTTCATTTTATTCCGCCTTGCACACAATGCGACAGACAACGAATCAACTCATCCCGCAAAACTGCTGTTTCTATTGCCCTGTTGAGGTCCGTAGGATTGCCCATGCCTAGAGGAATGTTACTTATGAAAGAACTTTCAAGTATTCATGGCTGATAGTTACTTCGTAATCGAGTCAGAAAATATGGAGGATACCATTGGTAAATATAAATACTGAGACGGTCCTCAACAAAATCCCCTCGCTCTAACGCGGTCGTCGAAATATCCCAGTAACACTGCAGACCCACCCACCCTCCCGCCCCGGCTGAAGGCAATCGCAGCACTCGAGAAAATTGCTTCAAATGTAACGCAGAGATTTCTATACAGTGGGAGGGACGGGTCCCGGGTTTAGCATGTTCATTGCATGAAGTTCCATTCACATCCCAGCTACTGTGATTGTTCAGCAATGGGAGAAAAAGTGAACCATCGTTTGGGGGTAAAATGGCGTTTTTCGCCGCAACACTGAGCAAATTTATTTCATCAATCAACTAGCACTCACGCATCAAAGCTGTCGCCTCCAAACTGTACTTACCCAGTCTCTCATTCCTCTCCATCAAAGTAAGCCAGAATAGGAAAGAGTAAGTCATTATTTGGGATTTCGGGTAAACGGTCGGACAGTAAGAAAGAAAGTAAAGCAAGCCCCGGTTGTGTCATAGTTACAGGAAAAGTTTGTGACCATTCCCAGGAGGCAATCGTTTATGCCGCATGCTCGGTTCAATGCACCAGTGAAGGGGCTATTCTTAGTTCATGTTAGATCTTACTTACTGTAACTTTAACAGTTGATGGGTAGTGTTTCGGAGAGTGAAAAACACTGAAGGCTATCTGATAGTAAAGTCCTATTTTACTTGAGTTCAGCAAGCCCATCATCATCGTTGTCAGTTGTAATAACCGCGTACTCGTCGTACAGTGGTTGTAGCTGCCACAGTTTCGTTCACCGATGATTT